TTGACAACTTTCTGGCCTTCGTATCTTGACATGTAGACCTTTTTGAGTCACCGGAATAATGCCAAACAATTGTGTTTGAGTAGTAGTAATTTCCTGGCGCCTTTGCTCAATTTTTTAAAGACCCAAAAAACATGGTCAGAAATCGACCAAAAAGCATGAGGAATACCTCATGATTTTCTCTGAAAATCAAACAATCGCATCTTTCACCTTGAAAATGAAGACTTTTACTATGGTACATAATAAATCAAAATGTTTCTCTCAACCCAAAGCAACTTTTGAAACCATTTTTATGAGGTCTTTATATGCAAAATTTCGACATTTTGGCCAAAAACCTTGTTTCAGATTTTTTGGAATTGCTCATTAAATTCAGTCAAAACATCTATTTTACTTGGCATCGTTGGAAGCGCCTTGAAAAGTACTCCTAGAGTGTATTAGGAAGCGTAGGATGATCATTAGAGATTATATAGTCGAATGTCATAAAATAGATGAAAGAAGTCGAAAAAAGCCAAAATCTGTGCAATCTTGAACAGAAAAAAATAATCTGAGTGTGAATCAATTTTGGCGGCGGCATTGCTGCTGGCTGACCAAAATTCCTTTCTGTTAATGGCAATGATGATTGCGATGCTGATTAACTGGGGATCATGAATTTGAAAGAACAATCGATTAGCTTGAATCCTTTTTTATTTGGTTGTTTTGCGAGTTTTTCCCTATATAGGTGTCTTTTGCAATGATAACCTCTCAAAAAAATTGCTGTAGATTTCATAAAAGTCCTGTGTTTACGCATGGCCAGCTCTGTGTCGCCATCTCAAGAGCAGCATCCGCGAATGGTATCACAGTTCTGCTGCCAGAAAATGCAACTCGGACGGAGGATGTAGTAAACCAGAAGTCTTATAATAATATAACGTAAATGCTTCATAAAAAATATTGATTTGTACCTCCAAATTTCTGACGTTTAAATCAGGCTTCATGCCTAATATAGTCATTGTTTAAAATGTACTTTTATAGCAGAGTTTTACTATCTCTTCTGATTTGAAACGTCTTCGGTGAGAGCCCGCAGGGCGACGCCGTCATCGAGCGTAGCGAGATAGATCGGCTAGTACTTTATATACGACAGACTTGTAGTATATATGAGACATGCTGTAGACATGCATACGATATTCTATAGACATGCCATATATCCAGATACATGCTAAAGATGTATGCTCAGAGATATACGCCCAGATGTGTACTATTGATATAGACTAAGGAGACTGTACCTATCGGATACATGCTACTAGATCGATATTAATTATCATTAAAGAAAGGATAGATCAGGATAGATCAGGGTACTTTGGATGAGAGTTTAATTATTCATCCAGGCAAAGCTAAATCATGATTAGACATTAGTTGATCTGAGTTGACTTATTTGTTAATCTAATTAATAGAACTTTTATCCATTGTTATAGTATATAAGATGGATCATCTACCAAGCCAGTAGAGATACTTCAGTTTACTTTAGACCTGTCAGTTTGATAATAAAACATACCTTTATCAAGTTGACATTACTGTTTTTTTATTCTTTTTTTTCCGTGAATTTTAGTCTATCAAGCCTCAAATTCCACACTGACAACACTCATCGATGCTGTTGACGAGCCAAGCACTTTATGGTCTGCTATTTTTTGAAAGTAGATCAACTGATAGCTAAGCATACCGCTCTCCTTGGGCGAGAAAGCAATCCGCTTCGTCTCTGACACTTGTTTCCGTAAGAGGCGGCCGTCAGAAGGGGGAAGCGGCTTCGGTTTGCAGATCCTTCCATCGACTGAAAGCTAAAGACGTGAGGCAGCTATCCGACGACATGTGGGTCAAACATGTATTTTACTGAAGTTAGTCGTTGATCTTCTCGCTTTTATTATACCGTTTACCGACGCATATAAATGTATAAAATTTTGGCTCACAGATATTTAAAAATCTCGATGTTTTCATACGAGAGCATTTTTCTTTGAGAAGGTCAAGGTGCTCACTTGAAAGCATCAAATAGGATTCTACATAAAGACATTTATGTTCTCGAGAACACTTGCTGGGTCGTAGTGCCATATCAACAGCCGATATGGCTATGATGGCGATCTGTCAATCGAGCTAATAAAGCTGCTTCTGCCATACCCCAAATTTAATGAAGGCTAATTCTCATTGTAGCATTTTTTTTAATAAATAAATCTTAATCAATATTGCACGGTTTGAACAGCAAGAAACAAAAAATAGAGTCAATTGTTACCATATTGTAGACTACTACCGGATCTAATAGTACCAGTGGCCATGTATTTTGCAGATCAACAAATGTCATAGAGATTATAAACAATCAGACCCATTATATACACCATATAAATTACAGATTCATGATGTCAAATCCGCTCAAACTCATTTAGTCATGCTCAGATCCAGCATAACTGAAAGTATCTAGTCCAACTTTATTTAGACTTACCGACGACATATCTAATATTTGTTAATAATTTGAAAGTAGCAATTTATTAAGGTGATTGAGTATAAATAATGTAGCTGTAACAACAACGTAAATATCGCTTTGCTAAAGTAGTAGCTAATTTATCAGAAATAAATTATTTATAAAAAAAGAGTTTGAAATTAATCAGGTAAAGAATATCGTTTATTACATTGAAAATAAGAGGGTTTATATACTATTCGAATTGAGGGATTTGATGTGAGGATAAGGTATTAGATGGGTTAATTTGGGTGATAGGATAATAGATCCAATCTATTATCCTGAACATGCCATAATATAGATCGTAACTGAATCCTGTTTCATGTCAAAGTTTATGATCTGATGTGACCGGTGCTTGAACTGCTTGTTTCTATGCATTTGGAGATCCGGTTTAGAAATGATACATCACTACCCCACACCAGCTTGGAGACCCTAGGTCGATAGCGAAACCATAAGATAGCACCTCTTGATTAGTGCTTGTGATGTAAGTGATAAACCGTGAAAAAAAAAGAAAAGAAAAAAAAGAAAAAAAAATGTATGTTCCCTATGCTTTCATATGAAGTTGCTGCATGATGGAATCGTTGATTCGCCAGTAAAAACCTTTATACATTGAAAACCAAACATGCCAATTGGAAAAAAATACCAATGTAATTTACAAGGGAAAAAGGCAGAATCTATTGACAAACATCTATAAAGATGATGGTTGTCTGTTCACAATCAACCGCGCATGTCTCTTTGTAGATCTCTCTTCACGCGTTGCAACCGATCTTTTGTTGATTGATTATAGTACTCTTTGCCTTTTACCAGAGCTCTTTTCAGGTGCTCCTACTCTCGCCCAGTACTGTTTGATAGGTTGTCTTGAATCAAACAACTCTGGAGTTTCCCATGAATCATAACTACAATCGTAATCCTTCCAAGTAACGAGATATTGATAGTTAGGCGCTTTACCCTTATGTTTGAGGATAGCCTCAACTTCATAACGTTTATCAGCAGGTTCTGGAGGAGGTGAATTCTCGATCATCAATTTAATGTGAGATGTAGGAACATCTCTTGATAAGAATGTATCGGTTTCATCTTTTAGAATGTAACTGCCATTCTTTGTATAACCATGAATATAGAACACGCCCTCGTATTTAGGGTCAGTTTTACTGTTCTTACTTTCTACATTCTTAATCATGACAGAAGCTCCTATGGGGAATGGGTTCTTTAGAATTTTGTGTCGCTTCATAAAATAAGCATTGTCAGCTTTCTGTGATTCGACAATCTGCTCCTTGATTGCAGGTACAAGAATTTTGTCAATTCTCTTGATCTTGTCTTTCAAGGCCTTGGCATTTAATGTTTGCTCTGGAAGGCTCATTTCAACATCAGAATAGTCTTTTAATTCATTAGGAAGCGTGGCAAACATGACAACAAATGGTTTCATGCCGTGTAGCCTTGATTTATGTAAATTTAAGCTATAGTCTGTGCCATCAAGATACAAATCCCAATTTTCGGCACATCCATCCAGCATGTTAATGACGATGGTCTTTGAGCTCTTGACCGCGGCTTCACAAGCGCTGTTGCCTAACAGGCACCATGGAAGTGAAAGCCTTTGCTCTATCTTTGCATTGGCAGCAATGCTCTCTAGTAATTGAGAACTGAACTCCTTACCTTTATCATGAGAAAGGATTTTTGGGTAACCAAAAAGACTAAAATTAGAGACAATTTCTTTAGCAACTGTTGTTGCAGTTTTGTTTGGAAACGCCCCTAATACAATGAATCTTGAGAATAGATCCATTGCTATCAAGATAAAGTTGTTACCTCTAGGAGTAGTAACATCAAATGTGTCTAGGTCAAAAACCCAATGATCTCCAACAGAATCCGCAGTATGATTCTTTGGTGGATGATATACATGTCTTCCTATGTTAAATATCCTGCATTTGCTACAGTTCTTGACATATTGTTCAATATCTTTTCTGAGCCCTTTCCAATGCACTTGGTAATCTTCATGTATAACCTGCTCCATAGCAGTGATTCCATAGTGTCCTAAAAGGTGAGATTTTTCTAATAGTTCTTGCTTTTGTTCTTCACTTTTAGGTACTTCATAAATGTCCAAATGTGATGCATAAATGCACAATTCTTTATTGTCCTTGCTGTCAGAATTTGCAGTTTCTGTGAGTGCACTGCTTACTGTGTTACTGTTTGTATTTTCCTTATTAGCATTATTCTCAGTATCATTGATTTTGGTACCCTGAGTACTCGGATTGAAAGGCTGTAAAATAATGTCATTTGCTTTAATACCCTTCTTTTGCTTCTTAGCTTTATGAAGGTCTTTATCATTTGTAGACTCGATTGGATCTAATATCCGTTTAATAACAGTAGCTCTTCTAGCGAGAGAACCACACCCCTCCAGCTTCTTTGTACCAGGTACAAAGATGCGAGAAAGTCGATCTGCTAGAATATTGTCCATACCCATACAGTATGTGATATCAAAGTGAAATTCAAAAATTGTATCATAAAAGTTCTCAATCATACGAGTAAGTTTCTCTTAAGAATGTAGGTACAATAGACCACGATTATCCAAGAATAAATGAAACTTTTCACCCCGTAACCATTGGCGAAACTTATTGAAAGCATAAACCACTGCCAAAAACTCACGCTTGGATGACCCATAGCGTTGCTCACTGGCAGATAGTTTACGGGCGATGAAGCCATTATAGTAAATACGCTTTTTGATAACTTGATATAAACAGGTACCAATGCCATATGCACTAGCATTAGTGACAAGGCAAAATGGATAGGCTAAATTAGGTGCTGGAATGATACGACTACTAACAAGCAATTGTTGAATGTTGGTCATGGCAGTTGTATGATCCTCTGTCCATACCTTGTCAATATCTGGAGTATTTTTAATGGCATCCAATGGTGCGGTTAAAGTAGACAAACGAGGTAGATTGCTACTAAAGTAATTTACCAATCCTAACCGAGATTGAAGTTCTTTACTGTTAGCGACCTTTGGATCCCGATCTAAAATATTGTTTACTTTACGAGAATCAAAGGCCAACCTCTTCTCGGGTAGGCAAAAGCCTAATATATTAATGCTACGCTGAGCAAAATGAGTCTTTGCGTGATTTATCTTGAGATTAGCCTTTTTTAACCAATCCATAACTATTTTGACGTATTTTAAATGTGTTTCCATGTCTGCTTCTGTGTACACCGTGTGCACCGTGATATCGTCTATAAAATTGGTGGTGACAGAGCTTAGATCAGAGAACAAATTAGTCAGATACCTTTGTACAAATGAGCTAATTGGTAATAATCCCATGGGGGCAGTTCCTGAAGCTCCATTGCAGGCCAGTTGTTGGATCGATAAATGAAACATATTTGCGAGAAGCGCTTGCTAGCCTAAAACTATGGAAACATTGTGAAAGATTCAACACCGAAAATATAGCGTGTTCTGACATCTTTCTATGTAATGTGCTAATCAAAGGTAGTGGGAATCGATCGGATTTGTCTGGATCTAATGCAGCATTGACAGCTCTGCAATCCACAACTACTCTATAAACACCAGGAGCATACTCACCAGTGCTAGTCTTTTTACGTACACAGAATATAGGTGAGTTGTATGGCGTTCCAGGTGGTGCTGGTTGAATGACACCATTCCTAATCCATATAGCCATTTGTTCCTCAATAGTTGGTAGAAACTTTTCTTCCAGGGGCCATTGAGGTTTATACATTTTGTTTTCATGATCTTTCAATTTATGCAACTCTAGGGTACTACCTGGTATATTGCAATATGCCTTAGGATCAATGTTTTTGTTGGCCTCAATGTACGGTTCAATTTCTTTCATGAACTGAGCTCTCTCTGCCTCTGTACCATAAGGAGAATCATTAGGAGTGTAGGGATCTGGATAAATTGTAGGAATCTCAGGGTTATTATCATCATCCCAATCCATCGCCATGTTGGAGATTGTAATGCCAATTTGCATGATCAAATCCATACCAATTACCACATCAATGTCACTAAAGATATCAAAAATCTCAAATTTAGAGTAACATTGGCGAGAATTATATGTAATCTTAATGTCTTCTTCTGTAGAACCAATTCTATCAATAACAGTGTCCTTTTTACAAGCTTTAATGATGCCTTTAATGTCTTTATTTATTTTCACTTCTAATATTTTGGCTAACTTGGGGGGAGAGACAACTAAATGGGGAACCTGTGTCCAAAAGAAAGTAGGTTCGAACCTTGATGTCGTTGCTCTCTAAAGTAATTGGCAAAATAATAGAGTTTTTGTTTAGTAAATTGCGAGGTGGTTCATTCATGTATTGATACTCACAATCTTTAATGCTCATGGCTGCGAAGGTCATATTCTGCTCGTCGAATTCCGTATCCGTATCCATATTGTCATCAGAGTTGTAATCAGTCTGCTGATTGGGCACAGGGACGATCGTCTTCTTGACGACCTTACTTCGAAATCTTGGTTGATTATTCTTCATCTTGCACACGGCCCTGTGCGCTGGAGTCCATCCTGACTCCTTGCAATCGTGACAAATACGAGTGTTGACCTCACCAAACTTCCTTTGTGCCTCATCGATTCGTTTTTTCATGCTGTCAGATGCTTTGCAATCCTTGGTGCGATGATTGTGGGCATTCGGATGATACATCATGCATCGTTTGGGTGAGTGACTGGTGACCTTGGTGTTTAGAATAACGAAATATAGACAGAGTAAATACAATTAGAGCTGAATATATTTATTATGTTATTCCAAGATTGAATAGGGATCAAAACTGGTGTAGATATCAAAGGTATTTATAGTTATTTGACAGTGCCGCAGCAATATGACCTTGATCTTGAATGCGGGATAATTGTATAAGCCTTGAACCAGTTAACGAGGATGTGCTGCATAAGAACTCATGAACCACCAGTCAAGGATAAACAACAAAGATAATCCAGGATAGAATGTTCTTCCTAATAGCTTTGACGGAAGAACATTTGCCGGAATTGAAACCCACTTCCAGGGACGAAAGGCCATAGGCTACCACTCTCCAGGAACCAGGATATAGATTAGCCATTTGATGGCACCACTCATGTTCCTTCGTGCTGCTTGAATAAAGACCTCTCACTTCTACTATGCATCTCAGCTCATTCTCAGATCCTCTTATGTAATATACGACGCCTAATACATTTGCCTCTCAGAGATGATCTATATCCTAAACACTTGCTAGCACTATTGTTATTCAAAACTGAGGCGGAGGATGTTACTGGAGTTGCTTTTTCACGTTCTCTTTCCCACTTGTCCTTAAACAGAGCGTTGTAGATAGCTGTTATCTTGTTGACCACCAAATCCACGGTGATCTCCTCATTAGAATTGGTATTGAGAGAATACTTGGTGTAGTTCGCCAACTCTTCTGGAAGGGCCTTGATCAAATAACGAACGATACAATCCTCATCCTGGATTTCAGCCTGATTGCGCAATTGTTGGAATTTGTCCACAAATTGATTGAAAGCCTCTCCTTGTTGATGCACTAGTCGCTCCAAATGCTCTCTTGCCGCATCTCTCATATCAATGCTTGATCGACCATACTTGTTGATAACTGCTGTACGGAATTCGGACCAAGTTAAACGGCCTTGTTCAGCAACCATGCTTGTATACCAACAAGCCATTTCAGTTGATAACTTGGCTGGTATTGTGGAATTTGAGGCTTGATAGACTAAAATTCACGGAAAAAAAAGAATAAAAAGAATAACAGTAAAGTCAACTTGATAAAGGTATGTTTTATTATCAAACTGACAGGTGTAAAGTAAACTGAAGTCTCTCTACTGGCCAGGTAGATGATCCTTCTTATATACTATAACAATGGATAAAAGTTCTATTAATTAGATTGACAAATAAGTCAACTCAGATCAACTAATGTCTAATCATGCTAAAAGACAACTCCAGCAAGCTAATCATGATTTAGCTCTGTCTGGATGAATAATTAGACTCTCATCCGAAGTACCCTGATCTATCCTTTCTATAAGGATAATTAATATCGATCTAGTAGCATGTATCCAATAGGTACAGTCTTCTTAGTCTATATCAATAGTATATATATATATCTGAGTGTATATCGCTGAGCATACATCTTTAGCATGTATCTGGATATATGGCATGTCTCATATATTGCACAAGTCTGTAGTACATAAAGTATCTGTAGCTAGTATCACGGATATAAGCATGTGTCTTATAGCGTGGATCATAACGTGCACATCTGAAGCAACAAGCTCATATTGCATTAATCTTGGTGCCTATCCAGATATGGTAAACATCCGTAGTCAATGTCGGAATACAAGTATAAGTCTATAGCGCCATCCATGTCCGTGGTGCCATCTATAGCCTATATCTTATATAGTATGAATCTTATAGTACTAGCGTATCTGAAGTTCATATCTTCTTACAGTATAAATCGATATCGTACATCTAATCCAGTGTACATATAGTTTATATCTAAATCTGGTAACTGGACGAACTGTCGGAATGCAGATCATAGTGGATGTATTCCACACCTCGTCTCATCTGCCTCAATCGAGCGCTTCCCCACCAGGACAGCTTGTATAATCAATAGACTGTTACCTACCGCCACATAATAATTTAGATTAGATGTTTATTCCGTTGCTCGAGGTCCACCACTCCGCGATATGTCTCCCATAAAATAACATATGAACAAAACATAATATTAACTACAAATAAAATCTATTGGTGTCGATACTTGTATTACGGAACTTGTAGGTATCATGAATGTCTATCCACTCGACTTGGAAACAAAATATCGTTGTTAGCTCTCCCCATTATGCTGAACCGAGTCAGGCTGCCCGGTTTCAGCCGTTTCTCTTTAAATATGAGTGTTTAACATCGTGTGTTAAGCACAAAGAATAAAAGGATTATTATTTGTAGCTTATAAAAAATGTTTAATATTATAAAAACAAGAAAAGACTTATTTGAATAAGATCAGACACAAAGACTAAAGATTTATTGATGAAGACAAGAGTTATTCTATTTATACTAAGCTCTGAATGCCAAAGTAGCAATTTATCTTGTACAACGCTTACCACATCTGGTGAACCTCAGTATTTAGATAGCTGAGATGCACTTCAATTATCATAGCTTGTTCATGTTCTTGCACAACACAGACCTATCTACCCATCAAGAATATTTTAATCTCTATAGACAGTTGTAGCCCTTCTAGCACAACATCGTGGATAGACGTTAAGTCAAGCTTTTCGGCTAGAGATGGCACCTCTGTTGTGAACAACCATCAAAAAGGTCGTGCTAGCCTGATAAGCGTCTCGTTCAATCTGAGCAAGTTATTAGGTTCAAATCTGCAACATATCATTGATGTCCAAGTCCAAAATTTACTGTATTCGCGCATTTCAAAAAGAAAGATCTGAGGCTCAAAATTAGAATAAAAGCATCTATCACTTAGAAATTGAGTTCCGTACAATGCAAAATTTCAAAGAAATCAGACAGAACTGTAACGTACTTACTTCTTTGACAAAACAGCCTATTACACTTTACCTTTAGGCCAAATTCTCCTCAAATTTAGCCAATTAGAAGCACGGATAACTCATGTTACAAAGCGTTGTGGACGCTCGGAATAGGGCCAAACTTCTCTCCTTGTCCACGCTTTACTTACTGATGCTTTATCTAAAAAAAATTTGGATCATCGCAAATTCATAAAAATCATCGTTTTTCCATGAGTATTAGCAAGGGAAAAATTTTGAAAATCAAACGATCGCGTTTTTCACCTTAAAACAAAGACTTTTTCTATGATACATATCAGATCAAACTGATCGTAAAGATGGAAAGCAACATTAGAAACTCTTTCTTTGAGACTTATATATGCTAGAATTTGACATAATCACAGAAAACCTGTTTTCATATTTTTGCAAATTACTCATTATTTTCGATCTGAAAGCTGTATGTAACTAGCACCACTCGATGCGCCTTGTTTAGCTCTCTATAAACGCATTAGAAAGTTGGATTCAACAATAAAAGTTTCTATAGTCAAGTTCTGCAAAAACGTTCGAAAGATGTCAGATCAAGTCAAGCTTAATCATTAAAATGACCACTGCACAAATCCAAATTTGAGTGCCGCAATTACGGCTGTCGCTGAGGAGAGCTGTGGTAAAATCTACTGGCTGTGACGTCGGACAGCGCGCCTTCTCATTTTTCCATACCCTCGTTTTTCTCCCTTTTTGCAAAACGCATTTAGTATCAAATCATGGTGGTTTTGGAACCCTTTTGATTAAATACAACACCCTAGCTTCTGATAACACGGTCTTTCACTGTGAAACATACTTGATACTGATTCTTCAAAGTGAAATATAGTAGGTACCATTCGATGACTAGCACAGAAAGTTATAGAACAAGCACTAATCGAATTTGTACATTAGGTTCTGATAATTTATTCGCCTGTTTGACGTGAGTACTGCCGCCATGACTTCTCTTCTATCTCCGCTGTCTGCGTCTTTGATTGATCATATCCGGCGGTTGCTTCTTTGGTCTGTATCCCTGGCGGTTACCTCTTTAACCTTTGTCTGGTCTCTACTAGCCTCGTTCGTTCTCTGGTTTGTCTATGATGCTGGTGTTTCTGCTGCTGCTAATATGGTCTTTCCTGGTCAACTCTCTTTGGTGCATGTTCATTCTCTGGTCTACGGTATATCTGGTGATTGCGTATCCTCTGGTCTATCTACGGCAGTGGTAAGTGGTAAGTATCTTCTTTCTTCTGGTCGCAATGATATAAAACTTCTTTGAACGTTTGTATCATTGCCTCCTTTCTCATGATAATGCATTCATGATGTTTACTTTGTTGCGTTTTTCTTCTTTTGTTGTTTGTGTTGTTTTACATCCGACTATTACCATGCATGTTGCTCATCATGTATGGATTTTGTTGCAACAACAACGAGCTGTTCTGAACGTCTCTGATGTTGTATTTGTTATACTTTTCTTTGAGTGCTCACTTTGTGTGAGTATCCGTTTTTTGCCTACGTACTACTATACTTCTATAGTAGTAGTATGCTCTTTTCTTATTATTATTTTTATGTTTCTTTGAAGCATACCTTTTTTACGTTGTGTGGATGTGCCTATCCCTGAATCTCAACAAGAACTTATCCGAGGCTAGGAGGTAGATAGGCTGCCTCCACTTGGTTATCACTACTTACTTTAGTGATGATTGAGGGTCTCAACGCCAGAATCTAAAGCTAGGTAGTGTAAGTAAGGCATGCTCTAGCACCTGAGGGAGATTTGATGATAGCAGCGGCTATATTGCTATTATAGCGGCGCTTAAAATTTTGCCTCACATCAAAACAGGGGGAAACCCTCGCAAAATTTTTCTTAGGTCAGCGGAGTTTTCAAGCAATCTGATTGGCTCAAAGGTTCAGGGACCGAAGGACTCTAACTAGTTAATATCCTATTAATCTGCCATTATAATGAGTTTATGTTTGTAATTAAAGAGTATCTAAATAGATATAATTTAAGTTCTTCTTTATTCAAAAGTAAGAGAAGATGCAATAATTTGATCTGGCATCGATTGCAGAGCTTTACGAGACGGATAGTTGATGAATTTATTATGTTAAGAGATTTTTTATATATAAATACAATAGTATGCTCGGTATTAACTCCTCCCAGTGCCAAATGTTTCGCCAAGCATGTATCTTTATCATTGATTTCCAACATGTGGTGCCAATTTCAAGTTTTGTCAGCTTCTACCTCATATCAAAGATTCTGGATGCGCGAAAGTATTTCTGGTTTTGAGATTTGGGCCATCCAAAATGGAGTTTTGAAATATTGATACTACAGTATTGAAAGCAGCATGTTCCTACTATAGCAATCTGTAGCGAGAAAAGCGATGGTGTGTTTAAATTTTAGATTGGATGGGTTATTGGTAAGAAATATGGTGTTTTCAAAATAAGACAGTTGTGAGCAATGGGCTACATATAGGAACCTGTTATTTACAGTGATTACAAGAAGTTATAGATTGATAGACGAGTTGTTGCAAAACGTTTTTTTTTAAAAAAAAAATAGCTCAAATGTTCCCAAATTACGCAGAGAATTTCATATATTTAAGTAGCAAAAGATATTTTAAGTAAAGTATCTACTTGTACTGAAACTCTTTTATTGATACAGACATGGATCATTACAGTTATTCATAAATTTGTTGATCAATGAAGACTGAGAGTGATTGAACTGATTAAAGCAGCCAAACAGAGCCGCTGTAGACTTAAATTGAGAACTGTTTCGCAGCATTAGGCAAATATGTGTAGCTGCAAGTGGTGGTGTAGAATATGTACTTTCTGGTTGTAGACTATAGTCTGTTAAGACGCCTCTTTAATCCGTCTTACAACGTTATTGTACCTATCATCTAATAGTGATTCCATCTGCTCCTGGATATCAGCTAGCTTCATTTTGAAACGTTGCTTGCCCGAGCAGATCCCTTGCCAATAAAACATATATGGTACCGATAGCAGCTGTAAAGTGCGTAACAAGGTCCAGGCATTCGTGTATGGTTAACATTGCATTGTGTAAGCAGTGACTCTATAGGTCTCTTTGCAATGTCTCACAGAACCAAGCATAATTTTAAACTACGGCAAACATCTTGAAAAGAGCAGAGCCACAAACCTACTGGAAAGCCTTTCTTTTCTCTTTAATAGAACACTTTCTCGATATCATGGATAATTCACTACTTATAAAAGCCGCCATTGCAGTTACAATTTTACTAGTCGTTACAGGTATTATAGTCAAATATAGGGATGCATCTGGATGGAGTGGGTATTCATATTGAGTGTAGTCATTGGTCTCTCTCTATTCGCAAAGAAACAAGGCAAGAACACAGTTTTATTACTAGGCATCAGCGATGCTGGCAAAACAGCCATGTACATATTAGTAAGTCATTTTCTTGGTTATTCACAGTAGTAGAATCGATGCTGATGCCAACATACAGTTGAAAAATGGAAAAAATCGACCCACAGTGTCATCTATGAAGGAGAATGAGGGACAAATCACAATCAACAACAAGGTAAGGGTGGACCATTGCAAAGGTTTAGAACGTGAAAAGCCTGATACGACATACAATAGATGTACGAGCTAGTGGATATGCCAGGCCACGATCGTGTTCGTTACCGATACGCAGATTTTTTACCTGTAACACGCTCTATTATTTTCGTGATTGACAGCACCAAAGTCAGTAGAGAGATTCGACCTGTAGCGGAATATCTGTATGATATATTGGCCAAGCCCATTGTCCAGAAGCAGCGCACACCCATCTTAATTGCCTGCAACAAAGCTGACATGATCACCGCTTTACCTATCGAGAAGATAAAACTGTTATTGGAGACTGAACTGTAAGTACTTTGAAAGTGTATGGAGTGGTATAGTCTATCTCATTCCCTAATAGCAATCGTTTGCGTGGCACTCGCACAGCCCGTGTTGAACAGCAAGAAAGTGACGAACAAGAGGCATTCTTGGGATATGAAGGGGAGGATTTCAAGTTTGATCATGTGGATAATGATATTGAATTTGAATCATGTTCGGTTGAGAACCAAGATGTAGAAAAAATCAAGGATTGGATCGTTCAATAAAGGAAACTGATATGGATATGAAACTTCTGGGGGAGATGGGTGTTGGCAGTTAGTGCCTGCAATGTCACAATTTGAAATTGGCATTGAGAAATGGAGGCATGAGGCTCTGTAAACTGAAAATAATAAAAGAGCCAGATCAGATAAACTATCCAGCTGTTGATTGAAGAGTTTGAGAGCACCATATCACCAGTTGCTGCTAAATTTCAGCAAAGCCTTTACCAATGCTTTTTTTTTTTTTTTAGGAATTGGACGTTTTGTGTGAGGATGAGATGTGTTCTAATTTGATGACAAGTAATGTAGGTATCTCTGTATCGATACATCATGTATCACCGAGTGGTTTAGATAATCAGTTTCAAATGTGTGTTGGTGAAAGTAACCGGGTGATCAAATTTCTCCAAGTTGACTGTGGTCAAAGCGAGCAAACAACAATCTGGTAATTTCCATAAGATTGGTAAAGTATTGAATCTGATTACAATGGTGTCTTTTAGCTACTTATTCAATGCGATTGTGCATCTACAGTTTATTTTGACATAAAAATAAGATTGCGAGGGATATAAGGCTCTTCCAGATACTTGATGTCTTGGTCAGACAGTTTAACAGCCAATGATCCAATCACATCATACAGATTCTCCAACTTGCCAACACCAACAATAGGGCTTGTACAATGGGGTTTAGAGAGCATCCATGCTAAGGAAATTTGAGCTGGAGAATGGCCCAACCTCTCAGCAACTTCCACCACGCGATCAATAATTTCATCGTTATTGGCACTCTCTTTTTTAGCAAAGAACAAGTTGATGGCGTGGTCAGATTCCAATCGAGTTGAGTTGCGATTTTTACCAGTCAAGAGACCTCTAGCGAGAGGCGACCAATGGATCAAAGCTACCCCACTATCCACGCAATAAGGATGCATTTCTCTTTCTTCTTCACGATAGATCAGATTGTACAAATTCTGCATGCTACTGAATTTGGCCCATCCATTCTTCTCAGCGATACGGTTCGCCTTTTGGAATTCCCAAGCATAGCAAGAGCTACAGCCAATGTATCTCACCTTGCCTGATCTGACCAGATCGTTCAAAGCTTCCATCGTTTCCTCAATTGGAGTTTGCTATAGAAACCACCACATAAAACTGAGTGCCAAGCTCATACCTTACAGATACAACAGCGTACTTACATGATCAAAACGATGAATTTGGTACAAATCAATGTAATCCAGACCAAGGCGCTCCAGAGAAGCGTCAACAGCATCAAAAATGTGCTTGCGAGATAGACCAAATGAATTCACAAATTCTGGCTCATCGTCTAATTGTCTTCCCAGTACATTATTGCCCACTTCGTTGGCAACAGTAAAGAACACCTTTGTAGCCACAACAATACGAGAACGAGGCATATTGAATTTCTTGATGGCCTTTCCTAGCACGCGTTCACTTTCGCCATTGGAGTACGCATCAGCAGTATCGAAAAAGTTGATGCCGGCTTCGTATGCCTTACCAATGATCTCCAGAGATTCCTCTTCATCCTTGACCCAAGGCTGCCATTTGGAAGAGCCGTAAGACATGCAACCGAGAGCAAAACGTGAGACCTGTACATTCAAAGAGATGTTGATGAGAATGCGGCATTCATATTTTGAGAAAGAGACTTACACGCATGCCAGTGTTGCCAAAACGAACGTATTCCATCTTGGGGAGCTTCTTTTCTTCGGTAGTAGTGGACATGATAATTGCTGCAATAAATACAAAGTGTGGAGAAGTGTCAGATTTCGAGACTCGACATTCGTTTATATGTTTGTCATCTCAGACAGGCGTCACTCTATTATGCAGAAAAGTTGGCAACTTTTTGCGTAATCCATGTCCAAACTAAGAATTTGGAAGCCAATGCTAGTGTTACAGAGACATCCGTATTTGGTTATTATCTGCGTGGAGATGTACTCAAAACGCCGGCTGCGGATAACGAGTATATCAAAAGCTATCTGATATCAATAATTGAGATATTTAAATGAGTCCTTCAACAGTGTTTAGCCAACATCCAACTGCTGCTTTGCTTAATGAAAAATACTCTTTATTGAACTAAAAAAAAATTAGTAATCGAGCTTCTTCTTGGGATTGTAGGGCTCTTCAAGATATTTGACATCTTCTTCAGTGAGCTTGACATCCAATGAGCGGATCAAATCCTTTAACTGTTCAATACGAGAGATACCTACTATAGGAGAGGAAACGTAGGGCTTTGTGTACTCCCAGGCTAAGGCAATCTGAGCACTGGTAACGTTGTACTTTTGAGCAATTTCTTGAACGCGATCAATGATGAGGCTGTTGGCTACTTCATCGTTGGTTGCTTTGAACATGCCCATGGTAAATCGACTGCCACTACGAGTCGTGGACCTGTTCTTGCCGGTGAGCTCACCCATAGCAAGTGGAGACCAAGGGATCCAGCCAATCTTTGCATCCAAAGAGTAAGGCGCCATTTCTCGTTCTTCTTCACGGTACAGTAGATTGTACAAGTTCTGCATTGACACAAATTGAGCCCATCCGTTCTTCTCGGCAATGCTGTTTAGCTTTTGAAACTCCCAAGTATCCATGCTACTAGCACCAATGTAGCGCACCTTTCCAGAGCGCACAAGATCATTCAATGCCTCCATAATCTCTTCCATAGGCGTGTTCTATTGCACAAATGCATCAGCTAGAGTACCTTTACAGACGCAATCAATACAACACATACCCTATCCAAGCGATGAATTTGATACAGATCAATGTAATCAACATCAAGTCGCTTGAGCGAGGCTTCTACAGCATCAAAGATGTGCTTTCGAGACAAGCCAATACGATTTACCATAGCAGGGTCTTCCTTCATGCCAGTGCGGTCAGAACGGTTCACATCATCAAAGACAGGGCCAAAGACCTTGGTAGCAATGACAATGCGAGATCTATCCATTCCCTTGATAGCCTTACCAAGAATCTCCTCGCTAACACCATTGGAGTAAGTATCAGCTGTATCGAAAAAGTTGACACCAAGCTTTGCAGCCTCACGGATCACTTCAATTGCTTCTTTTTCTTCTTTGACCCAAGGGCTCCAAGAGGATAAACCAAAAGACATGCAGCCGAGACAGAGGCGAGAAACCTACGATAAACACTTAATGGCAAGCTTGTCACGTTATACTACAATCTTACTTACTCTTAATCCTGTATTTCCAAGACGAACATATTGCATTTGAGGGACGGTAGAGGTAGCAGTTTCAGAAGACATTTTACTGTTGGTTTGACAGAGAGAAACTGTTTTAATAGACTATTTTCAGTCTTTTATGCGTTTTAATTCTGACCTAAAATCTTTGATCTTTTCATTTTTGGAAACCATATTACGTCTCCAGTTTCCTTTTCTCTCAATTAATCTTCCGCATGAATTTCAAATCGTATCATACTAGATTGACAGCTCGGCTGAATGGCTGATGATCAATGCCACGGAGCTATCGTTGTTTCGGGTAAGCCGACGTTATACTTCGAACATTTCAACATCAGAGTCATGGATACCCAAATTAAGACATAGGCTTACGCAAAGAGGGTTCTAAATGCAGATTCCTTCAGAAATATAGCATATAAAAACATGATTCATTTTCCTTTTTCCCTACAATCAACCAACATCTCACAAACATGGCTCTTGAAAACCTCCCTAAAATGCAATATGTTCGCTTAGGCAAGACTGGCATGCGTGTAAGGGATTTAATTAGCATTGCTCAAATACAATAGTATTCATGCTGAGGAAATAGGTTTCGCGTTTCACTATCGGTTGCATGTCTTATGGCTCTTCCAAGTGGCAATCCTGGGTCAAGGACGAAGAAGAATCTCTTGAGCTCCTTGGCAAAGCTTATGATGCTGGCATCAACTTTTTTGACACTGCTAATGTCTACTCTAATGGTGAGAGTGAGCGTATCTTGGGCAAAGCTATCAAGAAATTCAACATGCCCCGTTCCCGTATCGTTGTGGCTACCAAGGTGTTCTTCTTGGCTAATGAGGACGATGTTTCGTTTGGCTTAGCTGGTAAAAACTTGGCAGACAAACCTGAATTCGTCAACTGCTATGGTTTATCTCGCAAGCATATCTTTGATGCTGTTGATGCTTCATTAAAGAGACTTGGTTTGGATTACATTGATCTCTATCAAATTCACCGTTTCGATAAGGTATAACTAACTGGACCTGCTTATTGCTATAGATATATACTCACTTTTTTTTTTCAATAGAATACACCAATTGAAGAGACAATGGAAGCATTGAATGATCTCGTTCGCTCTGGCAAGGTGAGATACATTGGTTGCAGTTCGTGCCATGCTTGGGAGTTCCAAAAGGCAAATTGCATTGCTGAAAAGAACGGTTGGGCTCAGTTTGTATCCATGCAAAACTGCTACAACTTGTTGTACCGTGAAGAAGAAAGGGAGATGATTCCATATTGTCTTGACAGTGGCATTGCCAACATCATTTATTCGCCTTTGGCCCGAGGTTTGTTGATTGGTGGTTTAGAGAGAAAGTCATCTAGAAAAGAGAGTGATCCCATCATGAAGAACTACTCTGGAAAGGGTCATGAAACGAACGATGAGATTATCGATCGCGTTGCCAAGTTGTCTAAAAAGTTGGGCTACTCTGAAGCGCAAATCTCGCTCGCTTGGATGTTGACAAAACCGCACTGTACTAGTCCTATTGTTGGTGTCTCCAGTGAGAAGAATTTATATGACATAATTGGTGCACTCAATGTCAAATTGAGCGATGAGGATATCAAATACTTGGAAGAAACTTATACTCCTCGCAACCTCTTCCCAATGTAAATTGCATGAATAAATATTGTTTGTTTCCACTAGTGTCACTGAAAGTACTCTGTAGTAGCCGATTAAAAATAAATGATACACTTTGCACTTTGTACATTGAGGTTCGCATATGGCCAATCTGTGTATCCCAATTTTGCTGTGTTTTGCATGTTTTTGAGTAGGATCAAGTGATATTTGCCAATATATGGATTATTTTCATTATTTTGATATATGTTAAGGACCTAACGAGCATTTCAGCTCAAGGGCAGTGTAGTTTCATAATCGGGATGCTTTATTATCATGAACGAGTGTGTCTACGCTTCGGATGGCTTTCTACCTTCGCTTGGCTTTGATGAGAACCAATCTGTGCAACAGTGGCTCACGCTGCCGATTGCCCTTGCTCATCCCATCAAAATGATGCTACTTTTATTTTAACCCCTTACTTAAAACCCCTTCATACTATCTGTGGATCTGACTCTTATGCAATGTTGCACATCCGAATACACATTGATACTCTATATATCGGTCAACGGTATACTGGTATCACCCGTTTAGTCAAGAATGCGCTTAACACAGCAAAGAGTGAGTACATTTAGGCCATGATTTCTCGCGTTAGAAGCCGTTTTGGTCCGCCAGAAAAGCACCAAACAGTTGCTCTCATCTAGCGGTTGCTTGCTGACACCTTTGCTCAACTTTTTTGGGATCGTCGAAAATTCATCGAAAATCAACCAAAAAGCATGAGGGATACATCGTAGTTTTCGTCGAAAATCAAGCGATAACGATTTTGACAGCAAAAATGAAGACTTTTACTATGGCATGTATTAATTCAAAATGCTTCTCTCGATCCAAAGCAACTCATGAAACTTTGTTTGGGAGGTCTTCATATGCAAAAACTCGACATTTTTGCCAAAAACCTCGTTTCATTTTTTCAAAAATTGCTCGATAAGTTTAATCAAAACATCCGTTTTACTTGATACCATCGGATGCGCCTTGAAAAGCATTCCAAGAAAGCTTAGACAAGTATAGGTTGATCATTAGATTTTAAATAGTCGAATCTAGCAAAACAGATCAATCGAGTCGAAGAGTATCGAAATTTGTCCAATCTAGAGCAGACTATAAGCCTGAGTTAGAATAATTTTTGACAGCTGGTGAGGCAGGTTTGCAAACTCAAATGCAATAATAATATATGCTTTTGAAGCCAATGGAAAGTAGGTGGCGAACCACATGGTCCTATCGTTTCTCGACTAAACACGTCAACGTCTTTAGCTGCTGGCTTTACAACATGTTTGATTTTGACATCAGTATTTCAATGGTCTTGATCTTCTCTATTCATGCTTTTTCAAGTACCTCTAATCTCTGGCAAACGTGCTTATACTGGCTGCCAATTGAATATTCCACTTGTTCAAACTTTCTCGCAATATCCTTGTTATTGCCATTGATGAGGGTGGTGGTGGATTGCTTATTCTCAATTGATATTCGGTTCTGTCAAAGCGTCAGAAACAAGATGTTCTTGTATGAAGCTTTGCTTGTTGTATCGAGAGCAGCAGCAATTTGAGTTTGACTAGACCGTAACAATGCAGTAGATAGCTCAAGCATGTGAAATGGTGATAATGGAGAAGAAAATTCGGCCCCTTTCAACTGCTTTGGCAAATCAGCCATTGTCTTGAATATATGCCCTCTTACTTCTCTGTTGTTGTCGCGCAATGCGAGTTTTGAAGGATTTGTTAAACATTGCTCGTTCATCATGGATCTCACTTGAAAGCTGGTAAATTTTGCATTGTGCTTTGCAGATATCTCAATAATCCTGGCAAGCTGCTCATTAGATTCTGGTGTTGCTGTATTTGCTTGAGTTGGCACTTTTTCACGGCTTTACTCAGGTTTACCAGTGAGACTTCTTCATGCATTTGACTGATCCAGCAACAACCCAAACCTTCATTCAACGCTATTGTTTTGTGGTAACGCTCAAATGCTTTAGTAATGTAAATTTTTACATTTCTTTAGTCTGTAGTAATCCCCTAGAGCTATGTGAACATCGGCGTCTGTCTCGTAGCACTCTTCGAGTCGCTCGTGGTAGTCTTAGCTCTAGACAAGCCGTAATGTACTCTTGGGGTTGCTCTCAGAAACGCCATTCCAATATCACTTGCTGCCTCTTTGTATCCTACATCCAATAGTAGCGTTTTACAATTGCATAATCCACACTCACTCCACGACCTTGCTCGTACATCTGGCCCAGTACACATCTAGCTTTTTCATGTCCCGAGGGAGCTGCCTTTTCAAAATAGCATCTAACTTTCCTGTAATTGCTTCGCAAGAATTCATCGCTTTCCATAAGCAGCTTTCCAATCCTGTCATGGCATTCACCGCGTTCAGTATGGGAAGATACTCTTCTTTAGATGTTGTAAGCTTTGTAATAGTTTTCCTCATAATCTGTTAATCCAATCTCGTGGAATCTACTTCTCTCCAACTGGCTCTGGTAGTTATCAAGTCAATTTCAGTATTTGCTTGATATATCGACTTGGTTTAAAGCCTTACCGTATGACGTTTTGATCAACTTTTGACAAGAGCAAGAAGCAAAAGATAGGTGATCTTCCGCCCTTTTTTAAGCACCCGAGCAACTCGTCACGATGCTACACATGGAAAATTCTTTCATAATGTTTCTTGTTTCCAAATTACAATCAATGCAAAGCAGAAATGCCACCACAACCGCAAGCATTGCGATCGAATTCAGTGAATCCATCCAATTTGGTTGAACTTCAGGTGCTCACCAAGATAGTGAATCAGTTGCAAGGGAACAATGACATGAAAGGCTCTATACCTTACTTGGCTAAAATCGTTCAAATTGTTGCTAACCAGAGATTAGAGCGACCCTCACCAACAGCCACAGAAGAAAGCAAACAGCGATATTACCAGCAGCTTAACGAGCTCTCGAAAGTACAAGCAGATGCGTATGCGCAGTTGGCTGATGCCTATTTCCAGACGCAACAGTTCATTACATGCGAATCAAACTTGAACCTATCAGTCAAGATTTGGGAGCGTCTCTTGAAGCATGATGCCGCTTCTACAGATACCATTACACCACGCTTGAAGGCGGCTTACAAGCAATTAGGGGAGGCATATGAGGCGATGGGAAAAACTCAATTAGCGCAGCATATGGCAACTAGACTTGATAGATTATCATCTGATTAATAAAGTGCACATTTTCTCACAAATAGATACACATTGAAAGGTTAGAGAGAGATTGTATTTATTTCAAGCTAGTGTAGTAAAATAAGAGCAGGGAGAAGAGAGTTGGTTTATATAAAATTACAAAAGGCAGCAAGGAAGAAAAGAGGGTTATAATATGTATATGTATCTAATTGATACGATCTTCAGCAGTATGATCACGACTCTTGCGAGAGAGACGAGAGACTCTTGGCTTACGACCACCATGGATCCCACGATACAGTTGCTCACCCCAGTTAAAACATTCATCGCATGCCACCTTCTTGTGAGCTATACATCCAGGCTTGTCCTTGGAGACACGGGTCCACTTACGTGCAATAGAGAAAGGCTCACGTTCATCACCCTTCCATTTGGTATTGTATTCTTCTTCGGTCAATCTCTCGTGGAGCATGTCTTCCACAGCCATGTTGTTGGAGGATCGGTTATCAGTAGGGCACTTGTCGCAGACTTCAAGACCATGACGAGTACAGAAAATAAAGCCATTGATGGTAACGGAGTAAGAGTCAACGACGTTGTCAAAGTCTTCTTCTACGGGATATTGAGAGTCCATGCTGTTTCAAGTAATTCGATTTGTAGATATGTATATAATTGAATGAAGAAAAAAAGATGAGTGCTCCAAATTCGCTTGTATTTATACTTGATTTTCTAATGATGGTGGTGGTGTGATTTAATGGAAAAATCCTTTACCTTTGGAGCTGCATGAACTCCAATATGACGTTCCGTTTTCTATGGGTCGTTTTTCCCATACATGGTTTTTTCTCCCTTTCTGAATGAAAGCACCCCGCCTTTTGTTGGTTCATCACCACTGTGTATTGCTCTATCTGGGCAAGTTTCTAATGCAATCATCATATTGATGTCGACCCAAAATGAAGGGGTTTTGGCTGTGATTTGAGAGGCATAAAAAAAAGTACATTTGCCTGAGGACCCTTCATTGCATTTAATTAGAGTTACCCACATTTGATAAATCTCGGGTGATTCTTTCTAGTACACTGTTGTTGATCGAATTGTCCCGGTGTGGCCGTCTTTTTCTATTTCTCTATTCTATCCACCACATACATTTGACAACCATCACTAAGGCTGATGTGTGAGTCAAACCAGTTTGAACGCCATGGATCGCATGTATTTTTTGTTACAGTGTGCGTGTGAAAATACAAGGTCTTATTTATTTGTACATAAAACGCCCAATCGTGGTGGTTTTACATTCATATACGTCCATAATTTAATCAGAAAGGAGCCCGCATTCATTGAATTTGAGATTCATTTTCCATCCAAATTCATGCAAATTTCATGACATTCAAAGCTGAGCAGACTGATTTCGACAGCATGGTCAAATATCATTGCATTTGACGATGAAAAGCTGTATTATATAAACTTGCAATGTAAATAGATGAAAATATTCTCATCAGCTTATTACTTGTTTATTCTTGGTCTCACGTCAAAATCACAACTTTCATGCAAAAACAAGCATTCGGACATTCAGCTTATTTTTTGCTTCATTCCGCTAATTACCCTGGCTTGAGATCCTTCTCTCCAGGCGCATTCACATTAGATAATGCAGTTTTAGTTCTGTCATTGACCCGTTAATTACTATAAAGGTCTATAATGTAAATATAAGATTAGGTTCTACAGGAAAGCAAAGGAGAGTGGAAAGGGGAGGGGAGGGGAGAGAGATGTTGATTTTCTGTTTTTTTTCCTTTGCATTGAGATCCCGTAATTTATACCATAACGAATGGAAAACAATCGTAAACTCATGTAGAAAGGTTGCATTAAATTGAATGAAAAGTCTCAATCAATTGTCTATAATGGTTGCTCATATAGCAAAGCTGCAATATAGATGGACTCGAAAAAAAAAATACGAAATCAAGGATTCGTTGACGCAATTCAATTCAAAACAACACGAGATGTTTTTGGAAAATTAAGACGATTCCCTATTCGTCTGGAAACGTAGGCCTGTGTCAAGTTGGATACAAGTTCATGTGCGAGCAGCATAGCACATGGATTTATCCTTTAGTATCACTATATACAAAGTATAGTGTCTCGTGATGGCAACAAAATACGCCCATTACCAAGTTTATCTAATTACATGCTTTGCGATGTACCCACACACATACATTTGTCAGATTAAGTATAAGTTTGTGCTTGCTTTGCAATTCTCTTTGATGAAATGTTTCAAATAATCACGTAGCAGTGAGTCATGCCTTTTCGTGCAATGTCATACAGCAAACATATTCATTCCTTTGCACGGTAGATCTGATTCTCATAACATACAAGATTTAGCAGCCCTGTTCTTCCATCAGGGCATACGTTCATGATGAAGAAAAGCCGGGAGAGATCAACTTTAAATGGTCTAAGCGTTATTTCAGTGTTGCTCAAGGTTATCATATACTAAAATTGTCATTTGCAACTATAATAAATTGGGTTGAATAAAGAAATATACCCTATCTAGTTCACTGTTGAACGTTGATTGTCAATTACTTGCCTTAAAAAAAGTTTTGCTGTATACAAGCAAATCAGAAGCACGATCTTAAAAGTGCAGTTCAGTATGTACAATTCCAGCCTAATCTGGATGATCTTATAACCTACTAATACACATCAACAATTTACTCTAAGGTCATGCGAGAACCCTATATAAAATAGCCATGGATCTCACTCTTTACGATGCTATGCAATTATAACAATGAGGACAATTGATACGCGATTATACAGCACTCTTGCATTCCCTCTCAACGTTCTAAATCAAACGAAATAAAGCATAATTGTGCATTCGTACCGCGATTTCTTGCGATAAAAGCGGCTCTAGACTGGCAGAATAGTGCTGAATGATTGCTTTCGTGTAATATTTACTTCCTGACACCTTTGCTCAACTTTTTTGGGATTGTCAAAAATCGACCAAAAACCATGAGGGGTACCTCATGGTTTTCTTCGAAAATCAAACGATCGCGTTTTTGACCTCCAAAATGAAGACTTCAAACTATGAATATCGACCCAAAGCAACCCCTGAAACTTCATTTGTGAAGCCTTCATATATAAATTTTTAGCATTTTTGCCAAAAGCCTCATTTCGTATTTTCAAAAATTGCTCAGTAAGTGTGTTCAAAACATCTATTATAATTAGCACTATTGAATGCGCCTTGAAAAGTACTCCAAGGATGGTTAAGGGTGCATGAGATAATTAGCACAGTTTATTAGTCGAATCAGGCAAAAAAAAAAAAAAAATCAAGTCAATTTTGGTCGAAATCTGTCCAATCTGGAGCAGGCAACTGCATATATGCAACATGGCCAAATGCATGATACTTTCTAGGACGTAAAACATCTTTCCACTCGAGTCAATTCACAGTGCGAAATGGCAATCCATGTCATATTTGATAGAACAAATATCATTTTATTTGATTTGATGCTTCTATATTGATACATGTAACTCCAAATATACCCGTACACGATACACATTCATATCCCTGAGTCCCATTTAAATACACAACAATTCAACACTTACATGCACATATACAAACATACATATACACATTGTTCACTGGTTGAAGAGCAGTTATCTGTCTAAAATGATCATAAAACACAATATCCAACATGCATTGCTTACATAGATAGATATAATGGCTTCCAAAATGATAGTTTAATAAAACTACAACTCTGTTAGTAGCAGAAATCAGATTTTTATTCGAGTAGGTGGATACTATTTCGTGTCAACATTTGAACTTTTTTGTTTTATATCTTACCAGATTTCGTTTAAAAAACCTGATGCTTTTCTAACCGAGCACGTTGTTCCTCCTGCAAAAACATAATAGTTCAGTATTCATGAATTAGACTCTTGTATATGTTTTCTCTCTCGCTCGCTCTCCCTTTCTCTTTCCATTCTAGCAAACTTACTGGTGATATCTCATTATTGTTGTAGATTAAAACTACCTTTGACGGCTTCTTTTTACCACTGGGTGTAATGGCTGATGTTGTGCTTGTAGGAGCAGCTAAAGGCGGTGTCATTGGGTTCTCAGAGATGTGAGGCTGTGGTGGTGACTGAGCTGCAGAGAAAGGTTGTTGAGGAGGTGTAGTTGCAGGCACTGGAGCTACAGCAGCTGGTTGAGGTGGTGCAGTGGCAGCAGCTGGAACGTAGTCTGTATTAACTGGAGGCGGTACTGATGTAGCTGTTGGCATTGGCATAGGAGGCGCACCAGCACCCATAGGATGAGGAGGAGGAACAGGAGGCATTGGCCCCGGTGGACCAGGAGGATATCCTTGATAGCCCCATTGACCAGGATATCTATACATTGATATGAGTGCCTTTTTCCATACATATATTTCCTCATGTGATACTTACCCAGCATTTGGAGGAGGAGCTGCATATCCATAGTTTTGTGGTGGCACTGGTCCACCTGGCAAAGGCGGTGCATTATACCCATTTGGAGGAGGAGGGTAATATTGGCCATAGCCACCCGCAGCAGGCTGTCCGTAATAAGCGTTGTAATTGTAATACTGTTGTGGTGGTGGCTGCTGTTGTAATTGTGGAGGCTGTTGGATGACGGCAGGAGCTGTAATGACAGGTGAAGCCGTGTTTGTTGGTGTCGTTTCAGCTGATGAGACAGCAGCAGCCGCGGCGGCGGCGGCGGCTTTATGTGCTGCCATTTGTGCTTGGATCTGCTCTAATGTTAACTCGCCATAATGTCCTGAACCGCTTGCTTTTGACTTTTTGTTGCCGTGATTTCCTGATATTCTAGCTTCGTGAGCAATCATATCTTCTTCAGGGATGCCTTCCATGCCAAAAATCTCGATATCCAGCTTGTCTCGTCCAGGTAAAGCGTTAGGAACTCTAAAGCGAGTTTGTTAATACATGCTGTGATGTGAAACTGGATAGCTGACATTACTTGTAGATGTCGATTTTATGGACTTGATGAGAATGCACAACCATACCTCCGGCAGTAGCTGACGCTCACAGTTAGCCTTTGTTTTCAAACTTGAATTGCTTAATGGGCACTTACTTAGCTTCTTATTACACTCTTCACATTTGAAATGTTTAGCCTATAGGTTATACAGGTGAGAACAGCTGAAGATGGTGCTCAATTCAATTCAAAACTTTACTCTTTGATGTGTCACTAGAACTTTGTCGTCTTCAAAATCCTTCTCACAATACCAGCACCATGGCCTCATAGGCTTCGACTTTCTCTTTTTTCCCATTGTGTTATAATAGTTTAATGTAGAAGAAAAAGATTTTTCGCTTGCACCAAGAATCGCGATGGTTTTAAACTACTGTATAAAGCAGTGACGTATTTCATCGATGCAATGGGAGTGATTGGGTTGGATGAAGGTGTATTTGAGGTGCAACTAGCTCAGACAGTGGTTTTTATTAAGAGATGATGAAGAGTAAATGTAAGATTGTATAGATGAGTAGGTAGTAGTCTATAATACCATGATATAAACGAATCAATAATGGATAATGTACATGTGATATGATAACTAAAAGCCACTCCAAGCTCTAATACCATCACCACCAAAGCTTTAGGATCAATGCAATCAACATGCCCAACCAGGAGAGACAAGCGAATAGAGTACAAGTCCAGCCAGCACCAAGGGCTGCAATCATGGGGGGGGGTGTATATCAAAGATAGGATACAAGATATACCATATCGAACGAATGTAGCAGCAGCAGTAGCAGATGCGCCTCTTCCAGGCAATGCATCAACCAGGTACGCAGTGACAACGGTAACCACCTGAACAGTGCCAAAACATTGAATACCAAAGGCAATGATAGCACCCCAGAGGCTCAGTCTGTGTTCTACCACCCAGCCAAAGAGCAAATTGCCTAGAGGACTAAAGATGAAACCTGTGATCCAGGCATTGGCGGTCAATCTGTCTTCTACTCTGTGAGCACCCCCCTACGAAGACGGCGAGACCTGATCAAGAGACGATCCGACACACGACTACCCACAACTGCACCAGATAAATTGCCAATGCCAGCACCCAGACAGCATGAACCAGTTTGCCACGACGAGAGACCATAGACTTGCTTAAATGCGTCTGGAAGAATAGCCTCTGTTGCAAGCATGGCGACAAAGAAGAGGGCAGCTACAACTGATGCCAGAAGAATGAACAGATGTCGTAGTAAGAGAAAGGCTGTGAAGGGATTGAATCTCTTTTTGGTTTGACCCTTGTTGGCTGCAATAGTAGATTTCCCTTGGGTGACAGTAGTTGCAATGGACATATCGCTGGAATTGAGCGTGCCTTTGGCAGACGCACCAGAATCAATGCATTCGTTGCTGATTACAAGCAATTCAATATCGAATTTAGCATCGACTCGAAACGTCTCTGGTGTAAAGAAGAGCGTAATCAAAAAGATGAATATGCCCAATGCAGAGCAGAACCAAAAGGTAGCTCTCCATCCCAATGGACTCATGATCAAAAAGCCCCTAACAATAGGTCCAGATACAGGTCCCAAGATCGCACTAAACATATACTTTCCAAAAGCTGTACCGCGCTCTTCCACAGGATATAAATCAGCAATGTAGCCAGTACCAAGAGATTGACCACAGGCGACACCGATGGATTGAATGCAGCGAACAACTACCAAAGCCCATATATTATGTACAAATGCTGCACCGATGGACGTCACTGTGAAGATTACCATGGCAATCAAAAACAAAGATCGGCGTACTTGATAATGCTCAGATATAGATGCCCATATGACAGGAGCAATTCCCAGGAACAAGACACACAAGGCAGCTGTCAGTGTGGTGGCCTAGGCTGAGCGTGCAATTCCTCAGTAACATATGGGAGTCCTATTGAATATGCTTCGATGTTTGATTCATTGAAAATTTAGTGCTTCATTTATGTATGTGCCTGGAAAGTAGATGGTAGAGGCAAATCCTGCTGTACAAGCTACAAGAGCCACACATGCCACTATTCCAGTCTTGACTCTTGGTGGCAAACTTCGCGGATCAGCATCTATGGGTGGTGCAAACATGTATTTTTGTTTGAAATAAATTTCAGCTTTGGCATTGTGTCGAAGGATGGCTTTTCTGCTGACAGGTACAATGTACATATTTTTGCTGTTTTGACGGTGGTATTTATAAGAAATTTATACTATCTTGGAGACATGTCTTACTCTTGATGTTTTACTTTAATCAATGTATTAAGCCAATCGCTGACAGCAGCTGGGAGTTTACATACGCATTACACATGGCTTGCTAATCAAGTTTCCGCAATTGCAAGTTCTTTTACCTTTGAATCGTTTTCGGGAAAACGATTCAAAGATATATAAATTGACAGGATCGCACTTTTTGGTCTACTCGATGATTTTATTAGTCAGTTAGACCATCATTATCGTCTCTTTTGAAAGCGTCATTAACAGCTATGATGGATCAAATCGAAAAAGGAAGGGGTCATACTATCCTGGGCAATCAAACGCATCTATTGTGTTACATTCATGCGTTGCTCCTTTGTAAAACGCGTCGCAATGGAATAAATTACCTCGCTTACATGCAATGTATTGGCAAGGTATTTGTACGCAACTAGACACTCCAATACTGGAACGGAATACATGCGTTCATACGGAAATCAACCGATGAGACCAACACATTGACGTTGTATTTTTCCTTCAGTAAATGGATCCCATTCTGGAGTATCTCCGTGTATATGGTACAATGCCCCACTCGAAGTGCACCGGATAAAATGTTAGAGCTAACGTGCATGCTTTATAAAGCCTCATTCAGAAATGTTATCATGCGCTTCGTAGATGATTCTATTGGCATCTCTTATTCTCTGCAGCAACTGACCACCATCTTGATTTTAGCCATATCAGAGCCTATACAGGCTGCCTCCCATTCTGGCTTCTATCAAGCTCTTTCATAATACAGTAAGAATTATCCTATGCCAGTTGAAATCTGAAGTGGCAAATGTTCTCCAAGAAACCATAAGCTTTGAAATTAGGAGCAGGCAATACATCCTGGGCGGTCTTGATAGCAGAGGAAGAAACAGCAGAACATACTCGATTGACAATGACACCAGTGAGGGAGACAAGATTGCTTTTGAAAGAAGCAAAAGCCATGGCGAATCTGTAATGAATATATAGCAATAGAAAAAAAAAAGAGAACAATGGGCTGTTCCTGTAAGTAGACATTGCATCCTTATTATACTTTTTCTGATAGGCATTAACGTTTCTTGCTGATATAATAGGTATCATTCATAATTGCTATCAACGTTCCGAGTATTTTTAGCTTATGGAACGCATACAATGGGTCAATCAATAAGAGAACCTTCTAAACGACACAATTGTTTGACCTTGATAATGAAGACTTTTTATAATTTCTCTTTGAATTTCAAAATCGAAATTCAAGCTTTGAAAGTAGCATGTTCCTATAACAGTTCTTTGCGTAGAAGATGATGGTGCAATTGGATCTTAGATTGGATGTGGTGATGATGAGAAAAGCGAGATGTGAGAAATTTGCAAATTCTGGACAGATGCTGTTAGTAAAACCTTTTGATTAGTATATAAACCTGGGTCATATGTCTATTCAAAGTTGTAGAGAATACGTTGGTTGAGTAGAGCATGTTTGACTTGAGGTTATTGAGGACAATGTGCATGACGATTGTGATGTACAAATGCTGCATAAAGCTTGAAGGTTCTTTCCTATCGTTCCAATAATAGGCTTTGCTTGATATCAGTGTAAGCAAAAAGGATGCAGAGGGAGATACTTACGCTCCTCCTCCTGACACTAATGCAACCTTTCTTTTACTCATTAATAATTGGTTGTTTAAAATCTACTTGATTTACCAAAATGTTATAATATCTGATTTAAAATGTCTTCAGAGAGAGTCCGCAGGACGACGCCGACATCAAGGGTAGCGAGATAGATCAGCTAGTATACATATACTGCATATAGACAGAAAAGCCATGTTTATATAAAGGAGAGGGGCATTATTTGTGAAGATGCAGACTGCAAATCATCGATAGGCCTATAGCGATTTATGTAAACATCCTAATAAAGATAATTGTTATTGTACCTTTCAAAAGTAGTTATTATACAGTAAACACAGCTCTCTCTCTCTCTCTCTCTCTCTCTTGATAGAATATTATTCCAATTTGAACCAATTTACCATCAGCGACGATACATATCATGGACGCTGATATCATCTACACAAAGCATTCAGTGGCATTTGTAATACATAGTTCGAGTGCTCTTTGTTGCACATGCTTTACAAGTATTTATGTGCCATGTATTTGTATATAGAAACACAGTGATTATTTCATAGCCTTGTATTACGACTAAATGTCAAAATCAACTTCAGTGTAACCCGTATTGCAATATTTTATCAAGTAAGCCCCTGAATTGTTGTTTTTCTCGGGCTCGAAGCAAAGAAGCAAATATACAACGAGTGTACAAGACTAAGGAAACGGATGAAACCTAGCAGTAAATGTTTTTCTGCTGCTTCTTTTTTCATTAATGTAAAGTGTCATTCTGTGCATTCATGATGTGAATGCATAACATACACGGAGATGTCATGTATGTAATGCGCCATCATGCTAGCGGTGCTTGTGAGTGATTCAACATCACATCCTAGAACCATTACATACACCCACATTGCTCCTCTCTGTATAATATGATATCCAATGTCAAGCGTCATAGATAAAAATTTCAACATCCATGCAACCGTTGATAGGAAGAAACGGTGAAGCGAGATAAAATGGATATATTGAGTGTTCGTCTAAAACGAAAGAGTAGTATTTAAAAAGAACCTGCTCTGGTAACCTGTTCAATACGAAGCAACACTACATCATTGAACGCCAAACAACTTGTCATCATCAGTCAGTACCTGCTGATATTGCTCTGCTTCTCTCCATCTAGTTGAAAGATGTCATTTTCTTATAAGTTTATATTACTACACGTGAAGAGGTCATTATTATTTATACAACGACTCGCAACAAATAAACAGAGAGAAGTAATAGTTTTGACTGCATTCAAATCACTAAAATTTCATTTTGCTATATTGGTTAAATTTTCAAGTTGAGTGCTTGACAGGCAAACAGAATTTTAAGTTTGTATTTGTGTGCGAATTCTTTCGCTTAAATGTAGTATACCATTGAATTATGACACACACGAAACTATTTATTGTTGATTTCAAACAAACCACTAAACGAAATGTCAATGCTCACCATTCTATTAAATCAGCGCTGTACACAAGAAAAAAAGGGGAGCAAGGCTAGACATCAGAAGCCATGATGGGCCTGTGTATTCATGTTATTTACAAGTTTCCTTTTATAAAAAAACGACAGGATGAGTGTAGACGAAATAGTGAGATGTATGTGCTGTGCAGCATTTTATTCAGGTTAGATGCAGCTGAAACGATAGTGTAGATTACTAAAGAATGATTGCATTTTTAATGATGTATTTTTAGTATTCTTGTTCGTCAAAAATTTCCTTGCAACAGATCACTGATCCACATCGCGTATCTACAACGCTATACGGTGCTGCTAGCATACATGCTGAGCGAGTTTCTGGACATGGAAAGAGCAGAACAGGGAGTAAATATCTCAAGAAGCCAACATTTTGGTGATGCTAGCAGTCATAATAAACAAAAAGTGTTACATCTGCATAGCCCCTTTATTCTTGTTGATTCATCATCGTATTTCAATATAAATACATCAACTTGAACAGCCCTTTTTTTTTCGCTTTCAGTTCTGGTTTTTTTTTTCTCTCTTCTTCTTTTTCCTTACTTGTACTCTATTCCAAAATGTCTGTAAGTGATAAAGATGGTTTCAGTGTCATAATAGAGGGGTTCTAAACATGGGATTTCAAACAGCACCGTGTGTTCAAACCTGTCATACTCTTCCATGATCATTCATATAGCACTGATCCATCGGGTGTAACCCATCGCATCCACATACCTTATGGAGATCCTCACTACACTCCGCTGATCCAGCAAAAAAAGCACAAAGTAGGGCTCATGCTGCAGACAAATGGCCGTGCATGGTATGATATAATCAAGAGTTCTCGATCGAAATACAAGACACCAAAGCCATCGTCCTACACCAAGAGACGTCATTATTACCAGGCAGGTTCCTCGTCCGAGGTGGATGAAGACGAAGATGACAACCACAGCACAATGACTTCCAGCAGCTCATCATGTACCACAAACAGTAGTAACAATTCCATCGCATCACCTATACCCACAGCCAAAGCCGCAGCTACATCCGCCACTACCAGCACGGCACCCACTAGTATGATTGCTCGAAAGAGAAGAGGAAACTTGCCAAAGACAGTAACAGCGGTGCTGAAGCAATGGCTGATTGATCATTGCAGAAACCCTTATCCAACCGAGATTGAAAAAACAGGGTTAAAAGATAAAACAGGTCTGACGCTGAATCAGATTAGTAACTGGTTCATCAATGCAAGACGAAGACTATTACCTCAAATCCTTGCTACAATGCATCCAAATCACAAAGAAACAAACGGCATGTTGCATCATCATCACTCACAGCAGCATCATCAGCACACGATTGAAGACGAGGATGACGATGACGGCGTCGATGATGACGAGGAGGAAGGGGAGGAAGAAGACGACGACGATGATTTAATTCCTATGCCACAACCACGAAAGAGAAGAAGAACGAATTTCCTGTACACTACAAACAATCAACAAGGTATATAACATAGCATTGGCAGTCTATAGTGCATTCTACGCATGCATACTCACCTTAATCTAAATAGCTCTTCCTCCTACGACTGTCGTCAGAAAGCGTAGACGTTATAACAAGAGATCCAATGCTGTATTATCATAAAAAAAATCATTGTTCCAAAAGAATAAAAATAATATGATTTGTATTACATGTCTAAAATGGCATGATAAATATAGAATTCCAATTTCGTAGGCGGTGTGCGTGTTTATCTAAAGTTAAGCTCAAAGGCTTTACCTTTTTTTTTTTTACACTATGTAAAAACAAGCCTAATTCGCAAAAATAGTAGCTTTATCAGGTGCCATTTGACATGTTGACAATGATAAGCATTTGATAATTTACAGTGAATTTATGCAGATGGCTTGCACGATAGGACATGGAAAAAACGAACCCAATAGAGTTTCCGTATGAAACCTAACGATGAATTTCATTATAAATGTTTAGAGTAAAAAAAATCAGGAGAGGATTTTCCATCTACACAATTTTCCTATTATACTAAAAAGCCATTTTGTGGAGAAATCCATGCTAGCCGTTCTTTTACTAATGCCTTCTTTTTCTGTAATCTGATTTTGACTGGTAGCCTATGTGCCATCTCGCTCACACACACACACACACACACACACACACACACACACAAACCTTATGTTGGAGAGTTTGCCATGCCTCCTTTAGATGTTTGTTTTCCAAATAGTACCAAGCCCATGTAGTATGCAATCGCATTAGTAATCCCATGGACTGAAATTAAGCTTTGAATTAGAAAATTCTTTCGAGACGAATCAAGTAACTCAGTAAAGTATGGGGGGGATTCATTTAATCTATCCGCTTCCTTCCGTTGTATACTACATGAGCATGAAGGAGCGCAATGTCCAATTCTTATTTCCTGATATGAAATAGATGTTGTCCCACATGATCCCACCAATCTATTCAATGATTGATATACTCTAAAAAGGATGCCTACTGAAAGCAAGCCTGGATCAAATGTGAATTTCCCGGTTAGATGTGCCGACCGATCTTGATCCCGTTTTTTTTTTTTTTTTTTTTAGTATGGATAATCTCTTGTCGCAGGCTGCTGTCCAACCTTATATGTACACAACCAAATTGACGGGTGAGACCTTTGCACCCAAATGAAGAAGCATTGGAAATGTTCCCACCTCCCTGTTGCCACAAAGTATAAATACAGTTCCTCATTTCCATGCTAATTTATTTGTTACAGATAAAATCTTCCTCTTTCTTCTTTTTTTTCTCTCTCTTTCTTTCTTTCTTTCTTTCTTGTTCATTCATATACCAGCACATGTCTACCACTACCAGTAATCTACATCATCATTTCCTTCATATTCCTCAACAACAACAACAACAACAACAACAACAAGATATGGCACTTAAAAGAGTTGCGTTAATCAAACGTCCCCCACTTGTGCGCTCTTGCTCACCGAATCTCAGTGAAGGTCTTCATCGCACAGCATCCAATGCAAGCTTAAACAAGCATCATCGCAAGCCAAAGAAATCCGTGCGCTTTTGCGATAATGCATCGTTGGAAAATGTCCGCCTCTTTCTCAAAACTCAAATGCCAAAAGCTTGTCGCTCGGACCCTGCATGCTTGAATAAACAATATACGTTCCGTATTCGTCGACCCAATTGGCCTTCGTCGGCTCTCAAGAAAAGACACAGCGATGGAGGCGCTGCTGTACGCTTGGAAGATGTTCAGCTATCAAGGCAACAACAACAGCAAGACACACGGCATGTTACTTTATTAGGCAGCATCCAGGTAGCCAATCTGGCGTTTCAGAAAAGGGTCATTGTCAGATACACATTGGATGATTGGAACACGGCGAAAGAAGTTGAAGCGCAGTACCAAGAGCCTATTGCCCATAGTGCCAACACCTGGGATCGTTTCAGCTTCAAGATCGTATTGGATGCAAACACACATGCAGCGCATGAATCACTGTATTTGGCGGTCAAGTACAATGTCAATGGCCGTGAATTCTGGGATAACAACAACCACAAGAACTACCAGGTTGATATTGTACCTGATGTCGAATTGGATCTAGAAGATGCTTCATCAAACTCTTCCTCCTCCTCGGATGACGATGATGATCACATCTTTGAAGACTGCATCACTCATGGAGAAGAAGATGACGATGCCCAAGAACCCGATATTCAAGAACTGCAACAGAAGCTACATCTCACCAACCTCAAGGAAAGATATGATTTCAGCAATGCTGCCACCCAGAAGCCATGGTCTCCTCCCTTGTCACCCACTACGCCTGCTGATACTGCGCCAATATGGATTGGTCATAATAGCAACAACACTAACAGCAGCAATCACACCAACTACTTTGCATCACAAACCGCCACAACAGGAGTACCCAACAAGAGTGAAACTGTTATCCCGGATGCTGTTCATACTCGTCCTAGCGACGATACAACTGCAAGCCAATTCCACCATTTGATCCACAAATACTGCTTTTACAATGACCACAAGAAGCCATCCATCTTTACACCTTATCACTCTGATCCTCCTCGCTGTTCATCACCAACACCAAAGGCTATCCGTTCTTGAGATGGCATCAAAAATACCCGTTTCTACTGTTTATTTTCATTTTGTGTATTACTTTTACCCACCCTCAAAATTCTAAAAACAAAAAAAGTTTCGTTATCATTTGTGTATCTGTTTTATATATATATATATATATATATATTGCTAATAAAGTACTCTTTTTTTTCATTTACTATTGTACCAAACTATAATTACCCATCTAATATGCAACACTAGCACTGTGTAATCTGAACATGCTGATGGATGATGATCTCTCTCTCTCTCTCTCCCCCTAGTGTCGGTGTGAACCGGCACCCAATTAAGTTTCAACATCACCCCATCTTGTTCAATTGATACACATTATGAATTACAAATGAGCATGCAGCGCCTCTCGCGGCGTCTAATGACGCTTAAAGACACACTGCTCTTTCGATTTTCTCCATGGACGCTTGTGGTGAGATCCAATTGACACGGTAAATGGAACAAAATGACGATTTATTTTAAGCGTAATCCATCTTTGGCAATATACAAGAGGAGTAAAACTGTTTGTGTTGTACACTGGTAAACAATAAACAAGGTCATGCATTGTTATTGTATCGCACCATTGGGAAATTTGTGTTGTATTGTGTACGCTAGGGTGCAGCATTGATATCTGGTCTTGCTTCTTTCGGTAAAGAGGCCTTCTTGCTGGCTGCATTTTGCTTGCGACGAATAGCAGCAGGTACAAACGCAAGTGTTTCCTTTTCTAAATCTCTTAACTGGGGTTCGGCTGAGATGACAGGCGTGCTAGCATGTTGTGTTGTGGTTGCTGGTTGTTGGGTAGTGTGTGATGGAGGTTGCTGATAATGTACGGGTGCTGAAAAGTGTTGATCTAGATGTTTGCATAAGAAATTGCATGACACAAATGAACGAGCACGACTTACATGGCATGATTGGCGGTGGAGGTGGTGGTGCAACCATCATTTGAGGTGGTCGGAATCCATGAGGAATAGGTGGTGGAGGTGGTGGCACGCGTTGCATACCCTGTCTAAGTGGCCCTCCTGGGGGAGGTGGTGGTGGAGGACCTCTCACATGTAGCTGCTGTTGTATGATGGGATTCAATTGCTCCTCAAACGGTCTATAGGGTGGAGGCCCTGGTGGAAGTGGGATCTCATAGTCATCATCTGATTCTGTCAAAATTTTTGCTGGCGGTAATGGTACATCCACTTCTGCATGATCTTGATCTATACTAATATCGTCGTCTGAACCATCCTCTTCTTGGTCTGAATCCTCGGAATCATCATCACGCGAGCTATCTGAATTACTGCTACTCTCATCCCCATCGTCCCCATCTTTTGTGAAGGAAGAAGATGGTTTTTCTATCAACCAGATGCGTCAGTAAATCACCTCCAAGGAACCTAGGATCAAACCCTAACCCTTTATCTTTGCTGGCACAAATGCTCCTCGCTTGGGATCGTAGACTAGTTTTCTAGCTTCGCCTTCATGTTTTTTTTCTTGTTCTTGCATACGAGCAGCATAAGCAGCTTGAGCACTAAAATTGTAGTCATTGTCAGCTGTCAGCTCAACAAAGTTGCCATTTTCTCGCAATTACCCTGTAAGCTCGGTTGCCTATACACATCAATTGAGGTTAGTATTGAACCAACAAACTATACCCCCTGCTGAGCTATACCTTTTTGGCCTTCTCAATCTTGCTGATATCACTTTTCAATCCTTCTAAACGCGCTTGTCCTGCCTTGTCCAATTGCCCACTATTAGCTAAATGCTCTAATCTGGACATCTCTTGTCGCATTTTGCCGACATCTTTCTTTGCCAATGCTGATTCACGCACGCGTTTGCGATCCTCTTTATTCTAATACGCACTGTATTGGTACGCTTGATTGATGTTTTTTTTTTTTTTTTTGATACTAGGAAACAAACCTTTTTCAATTCTCGTTTACGTTGCTGTTTACCTAATGAACATAAATTAAGAAATCGCTAAGTATACTGTTATCAAGCGCCATCGCAAATATACTTTACGTAGGGCGTCAGCAGGGTTCATAGATCGCTTTGATTTTCCCATTATTGTTTGGATAATATGTAGATGGTTCGAAAAAAAAAAAAAAAAAAAAAAAAAGAATGCCTAATGAAAAAAAAAAAAAAAAAATTACGCTAAATTGGGTGGGCAGGGAATAATTTCAAGCAGCGGTTGAACAAATGCATTTCTTCAACTGATGTATGCTTGCCTCTAGCCATCTAAGCGAATGATACCATATCAATTTACCTTTATAAGATTAATCCTATCTCTTGGATAATACTCAAAGAAAACTAGATTTTAATACTAACAAAAAGAAAGTTTCCCATCACCAATTAGATTGAACGGGCCGTTGCCAATGATTACATTGCAAGAGTGGATCACTTGATTTTTACTTTATTTTTAACTCTAAAAACCAAGGAAGAGGTTACCGATAACGACCTTTTAACACGGGCTTTCATAGCGAGACACTCTTCTCTTTTGTGTGCTGAGAGAGATAAGCATGTATGCCAATCATTTCATTGATTGTATAGTGTTGCATGAATAAAGTTTGTTTCCTTTCTCTGATTGTATGGCTGTTGAATGGACGTCCTGGAAAGTGCAACACAATGCTGGATGGCATTATTTTCCCAACGGAATCTAGGTTATGGTAGGAGCTGATCTGATCTGAAGAATGACTCACTCGTTGTTGGATTGATATTGCTGAAATACACTAAAAAGTTACTATTTCACTATCTACCACACGAAGGCCTCCTGTGGCCGACCTGTAACTGCGGATCTGACTTCTCTGCAATTCTATACGTTTGTATCGAGGAGTACAATTCGTCTATGGACAGATGGTATACTTGCATTGCTTCTCATTACTCAAAACTATGCGAAATTCTGGATTCATTTGATTCGTGTTTTCTCGCGCTAAAACCTGTTTTAGACAGTCAGAGTAACACCAAACAAATGCTCTCACCCATCCGTTACTTACTAACACCTTTGCTTCACTTTTTTGAGATTGCCAAAAACCGACTCCAAACCATGAGGGGTTCCTCGTCAAAAACATCAAAAATCAAACGACCGCGTTTTTGACGCAAAAAACGAAGACTTTTACTATGGCATGTATTAGTTCAAAATGTTGCTATGGACCCAGGGCAACCCTGGAAAACACGTGTGTGATAATTTCATATGACCAATTTCTACATTTTGAACATAAACCTCGTTTCATATTATTGACGATTGCTCAGTAAGGTTTATCATAACACCTATTACAATTAGCACCATCAGATGCGCCTCTAAAAGTACTCCAAGAAAGCTTAAGGGAGTTTTTTTTTTTTTTTTGTAGGGGAGTCGAGCTCCAGGTTTTATTTAAAGTCCTTTAAATGTCATACTGAGGGATAGAAAAGACTGTTGGTGGACCCAATGTCTGCAAAGAAGGGGAATAAGATATTTTTGAATTAAGTTGGGAAAGAAATCTACTACTAATAAGGTGCGACACCTAGAGCCAAAACAGTCTTGCGGAAATCGTCAAAATATAGATAATGGATAGAGTACAAAACACCAAACGAGGACATCAGTACTACTTCAAAAAATCAAACAACTTGCGTTCACCAGGATTTGAACCAGGATCCTCCCGTTGGCATACGGGAGTTTCTACCACTTCGCCCTACCACCAGGGACGCTTAAGGGAGTATGGGAAAATCGTCCAGATTCATATAGTCAATTCTAGCAAAATAGTTCATACAGGTCGATTTTGCTTAGAATCTGGCCAATCTGGAGCAGATGCAAAGCGGAGCTTCAACTATCTTTTTGCTGCTGCTGGCAAATGTTTGACCATCCTCATCATCGAGGGAATCCATGCTTTTGAAAGCTCAGAAGAAGGAAATTTCGAGTTGAGCAGTACTGAGGTTTTGTCTGGCACTATTATTTTGCTCCTGTCGCATACTATGTCTTATATTTTTTACACCCATTGTAGTTAGAAGATACAGATTTGACGGTTTTCCTGCCATGACAAGGATGAACTTTAAGCCATTTTCCGCGGTATAGAAAGTATGGCTGTGGATAGTATGCTGATGTTAGATAGTACCTCTGTTTATATCACCAGTGTCGATGTGTTAGTGCACAATCACTTCAGTATTGACGATTGTGTCCATGGCTTCAACAGCACTGGCTATTACGAAGCACCACAGCAGAAACAACCACCAACACATATCTTGGCTCTGCAGAATATCAAGAGCTGTCAATGAAGTACGATTTTTCTTAACTGATGGCCATCGATGGAGCAAATGGGCTTTTTCAGCCTTTTCTAGAGTCTACTTTATCTAACTGGAGCTTTATGACACGCTCATCAACTGACAACTACATCTCCAACAACAAAGAAAAAAAAAAGAATAGCAATTTTTTCAAATAAAATTCTACTCATATTAAGCCATGTCATGCACAAAACAGGCCATCTCTTTCACGAGATTGTTTCCAATTTTATTCAAAAATCAGAAAGATTATCAAATTTGTGGGTGTTGTTCATAGTGTAAGCGAGTGTGTGTGTGTGTGTGTGTGTGTGTGTGTGTGTGTGTGTGTGTGTGTGTGTGTGTGTGGATGTCATTTATTTGATGGAGGAGTATAATGTCTGTGTGTGTGTGTGTGTGTGTGTATTGAATTATTTATATGGCATGTTCGTCGTCTTTGTGTGTATTGTATATATAATAAGGGAAAAAGAGAAAGAAGGGGAGAAGGTATCTTGTTGTGTACAAATTGTCTTCTACTACTGCTACTACAAAACATTCTTTCTGGTCAGATAATCAAAACGTTTGAAAGTATAGCCAACAAATGCAAGATCCTTTTGAGCATTAACAGTGTCTGTTTGATATCCTGTTGAAAAAAAAAAGTGTTTAATGCCTTGACATGAACAATGAGACAATATCGAAAATACCTTGGTTATCCACAGCATCAGGTACAGCATCCAGTTCTTCTGTAGGAAAGTAGCTGGTATCCGTAATACTTCTTAATTGAGGTATATGAGGTGATCTTTCATTTCTAATTTGTTCCCAATTGATACCGTAAAAGAAGGGATGTTGCTTAATTTCATCGGGCCCATTTCTACCAAGACGCACTTCAGGGTCGCAAATCAATCGACGTATCAAATCCTCTGCCTCTCGGCTAATGGGTTGGTCTTCAGGGAAGATCAATGTTTCGCGCCAATTCATAATCTTTCGGTATGTGTCATGGGGATTCTCAGAGCAAAAGGGAGGATAACCGCACAGACATTCAAACATGATGGCTCCCAACGACCACCAATCACACTCTTGACCATAGCCTCGCTGTAAAAAGATCTCGGGTGCAATGTAATCTGGTGTACCCACTGTAGAATAAGCTAGTGCTCTACGGTTCTTTTTCCATGTAGCAATCTTTTCTTTTTGCGTATTGAGGTTGATGAAATCAGGTCCAGATGAGTTTTGTGCTCCCTCCAACAGACGCTGATAGTATTGAGAGTCGTGTGTCTTGTGAAATCCAGTGGATAAACCGAAATCTGACAATTTGATATGACCATCCTTGTCAATCAGGATGTTATCTGGTTTGATATCACTATACAGAGAGCAAGATGAATACATGACGTCCTTTACACATATGCATCCGGTCCACTTTACCGATGAATGAATCCCAGGTTGTGAATAGCCTCCAACGCCAACACAATTTCTGCAATATAGAATCTTGTCACAGGTTCACTGAATGTGTCGTATTTGATTAGCATGGTCATCAAATCACCACCAGGTAAGAACTCCATGATCAAGTACAGATATTGTGCATCTTGAAAAGAAAAGTAGAGTTGAACAACCCAGGGTGAGTCGGCTTCGGCTAATACATCGCGCTCTGCCTTGACATGGGCCAATTGGTCTTTTTTCAACATTTCAGATTTCTTCAGTGTCTTCATGGCATAAATCTTTCCGGTGTCTCCTGCTTGTACCAATCTCACCTGGAATAGACTTTGTCTGAGATCACGGTTCACTCTGCTATCATGGATGCGCACTCACCTCACCAAAGGCACCTTTGCCAATCACCTTTACTGTGACAAAATCTTCAAGGCCAAGTCGGGTTCTACGCAATCTTAAATACTGAGATTCTTTTCTGCCTAGCGACTGAAGTTGTCTCTTTTTCTTTTCCTCGCTGCAATGCTCGTGTGCTAATTTGTTTTCAATTTCACTGCGTCTAAAAATGAAATAGAGAGACACACGTTTATAATTGATGCAGATGCGTATCTTTAATGCATACCTTTGATTTCGCTCGTAAGCTTGATCAAGAGCAGTTTTATAGTAGTGTTCTAAACGAAGTTTAGCTGCTGTAGCTCTGTCCAACACACTTCTTGGGAAGCCTTCAGTGGACCTATTGAAAGTGTCCGGCTGCAATTGTTGTTGCTGTGGTTGCTGATAGAAATAGGTAGATGCGATACCGCCATTGTCCTGGTGCTCATTATTAGCATAACTTTGAAATCCTTGCTGCTGCTGCATCATTTGCTGCTGCTGCTGCTGCTGCTGCTGTTGCTGCTGTAATACTTGTTGTTGGTGAAGCTGCTGTTGTTGTTGCTGAATGTACTGCTGCTCCTTCAACTGCTGCTGTTGTTGTTGGTATTGCAACTGCTGCTGTGGGTTTGTATACGTGTAGTCCATACTTTTTTTTTATCCGCTAGAATGAAAGCGAAAAGGAAGAAATAATAAATAGTGCAAGTTGAGGGATGGGGATGATTGGATTACAAAACATTCGAATTTACAAGTCTTGCTCAGAGAGCCATTCAAGGATTCTCCGCCATGATTTCGTATCTCCATCATAGTAAAAGAGAAGCAATTACAAAGCCTCCCCTCTCCCCCCCTTTTTTTTTCATCCCGTTGCTCCAATGAATTCTTACAATAAAATCCTCGAGGAAACAAGAAGCATGGTTTCTGGCTACATGTCAGGTCTTGATCCATCTCATGACATGTACCATGTTGATAGAGTCACTACTTTGGGTATGTGTGTTGGTTGCTCGAGACATTGCTTGCTTCTGGTAACTGACATGATTACTGCGCAATTACGGCTTTGTGTTTGTTACAGCTCGTTGTATCGCAGCCGATTTAGCTAAGGATGTCACTGTATCTATCGATTTAGAATTGGTCGAGTTGGCTGCACTTTGTCATGATGTGGGTGATCGCAAGTATTATCAAGGAAAGGAAACTGGCGGTCAATTGATCAAGACATTTCTGTCTGATCTTGGTTATGCAAAAGCAGATCTTGTTGCCAATATTGTAGACCATGTTGGCTTCAGTAAAGAACTTGGCTGGGACGACGAAAAAGACGATGCTGCAGAGGTGGAATGGAGGAATACCTGTTTAGAGCTGCACGCGTACGTTATGATAGTGGTAGAGATATCATGTTATCATATCTAAAATACTCTGTTTTCAGGGTCCAAGATGCTGATAAGCTGGATGCCATTGGCGCTTTTGGCGTCTTGCGCTGTGCAGCTTTTAGTGGGGCTAAAAACAGACCATTGTATGTACCAGACCAAAAGGCCATTGAGAACATCTCGCAGAAAGATTACCTTGATGAATCCAACAAGAATAATTCGGCCATCACTCATTTTCATGGTATGTATGTGTGTATGCGTTTTATTTTATAGTGATGTGTGTATAATTGATATACATTATCGCATATGATAGAGAAACTGTTTAGACTTAAATCCATGATGAGAACTCCCAAAGGAAAATCCTTGGCAATAGAACGTGATAGATTCATGCAAACTTTTGTGGATCAGATTAATCGTGAATTTAGTGTCATCTAGGTATTGATCTCCATCCTTAATGGCCTTGTACTTGTGGTAGTAGAGGTCGTTGATCTTTCTGGTGTTGTAACGTGCCTTGATAGATTCAATGGCTGGCTGCTACTTTCAGCGTGCGGTGGCAATGAGGGTGGTTGCTCATCCGCTGCAACTGATAATAAATTAGGATAGGAGAGCGGTCTTGCTCGCCTCTTATGACTATGTCTCAATTGTTTGTTTTGTTGTTGTTGGGTAGTAGATGCTGACTTTCTCTTTTCGAAAAAGACCATCTTTAGCTTGTCCATGATATGGCTTGATCTTCTCTCTCGTTTAGGTATGGCTGGTGGTGTGGATGTGGATGTAGGTCTGCTCTGGACGCGGGTGGCGGTTGGCTCGGCGGACGAGAGATTTGACATGTCTACATCTTCTACCTCAACATCATCTTCTTCATCTTCTGTATTGGATAGCACACCATGGTCTTCTTCCTCACCAACTGCTTGCTCTGTTTCGATTTGAGCTTGAGGAGATGAAGCATGAGGCGCTGATTCTTCAATCACATGTTGTAGTATTTGAACTGTATGATCTAATCAACCACATCAAAATAATGGGTATGAGCTTCTTTTTTTCTAGCTTCTTTTTGCTTTAAACAACACAATATATAGCGCTACTTACTCTGGTTCGCAGGAGAGGACGTAGATGAGGAAAATGGATCCGGCAATGTTTCGGAATAGATGACAGGAGACGATACAAGTGTCGTCGAGTAAGGATCAGCGACATGGAGTGGATTATGTAATGCAAAATCAGAGGATTCTGGAGATTGTAAATTCAACCCAGAATCTGCTGGAGGTGCAGTTGTTACGGTAATCGATCTCTCATGGTGCTTGTTGTTGCTGTTGCTGCTGCTGCCTGTGCGAAAGATATTAATGACTTCATCCGCCTCAGAAGCAACGCTTGCTTCTAGGTCAGAGTACGTTCTACAGATAGGGCATTGGAATCCAGGGTAGCTCTGTAGCAAAGGTCGAATGCATTTGAAATGATAAGTATGAGAGCATGGAGATACAAATAGTGCTTGAAAAGGAGCTAATGCATATAAACAAATACAGCATTCATCTACATCATCATGACAGCTGGACGTAGTGGTGGTTATAGTGGTATCGTTGCTGGTTTGCATGTTTGTTAATTTCTTGAGTGGGATGCCATCTGATGCAGGTGGTGAATTAATTAAGTCATTAGTTGGTGTATCAATGATTGTATTCCTTAAATTAGCGCTTTCCTCTTGATGCTGCTGGTGCTGATGATGAGAAGAAAGAGGGGGTGTTGGCGCTGTTGCTTGAGTCAAATTACGGAGATTTTGGAATGCGTTCAGGTTGAATGAGAGTGGCCGCTGTCTGCTTGATCTGTTCAATTCAAATCGCATTTTGACGGAACGATACATCTCCTCTCTTCCGCCTTGGAAATCAACGCCCAATTGCACAATATCGCCGTCGTGTAATTCCACAGGGCGGCTCTCACTTCCTGCTGGACTCAGTCGAACATGATTCAGAAAGGTACCAGAGGATGATTTGGTATCTCGAATATACAGCTAAAAATGTCAAAATTTCAGCCTTTGTCCCCAAATTAAATCGGCGAACCTCTCAGTATTCTTTACCTTGCCATCTGTTTCAACCCACACTTCACAATGACATCGAGAAACTACTTTGCTCTTGAAAGACATGCAATTCAGATTAGCATGACGCTCAGAGTATCGGCCAATGCGAATAATGGATCCAACTGGGAGCTGTCTGTCGACGATATCAAAGATCAAACTTCGACTGGGATTGTCAATGTTTGGCACAATGCGGACATGAACTTTGTCATTGGTGTGTTGATCTAACGAGGAGGATGCAGATGAAGCGATTGTAGCTCTTCGTTTGGCTGTTGATTCAGATCTAGATGCTGTTGGTCTCGGGTCGGCTGCTGCTGAAGAGGATGAAGATGGCGAGGCAGATGCTGTATTTCTGGTGAATCTTCTTGCGAGCAATGCTGATGCTCCACTGAGCGATCTTCTTCGAGCGCCTTCTACAGGAGCCCCGCTACTCGTTGTAGTAGTAGTAACAGTAGCAGTGGATGTCGATGGCGCCATGTTTCTTTATAGGAAATAAGTATGTAGAATATAAAAGAAAGAAGGAAAAAGGGAATACAAGATTTTTGTTGAGTGATTTAATTCTTAAAAAGGCGGCGGTCCCCTAAAAAAGGTTAATCGATTTCATCAAATGTACAATATCACAAACTGTTCCAATGTGTGTGTGTGTGTGTATGTGTGTGTGTCTGTGTGTGTGAGTATGTGTGTGCTTCTTTTTAGTTCTGTAAGCTGAAAAACTTGTAAATGATGATACAAATATTACTGTACTGTCCCACACGCATGAATATACAAAGAAGATCACACTGAGACCACATACGAAATGATTGATATTGAATCATCAGGATGAAAAATTCCCTTGAAATTCATGCTAAATATGTCTACATGTTGGAAAAAGCACAGCAATATGTAAAGAAATGAGACAATAAGTTGATAGCAAATTTCTCCATGTAGGTTTGAGTCCGTACAGATCCCTTTCGCTCCCTGCCCTGCCCTCGCCCTTTGCTAGTTTCCCTCACACTCTTTCAGATGCTACATGTCGGACACTTTTGAATGTGCAACATGCTCTACTAAACCACTGAAAATCTCGGGTGGTTTTTTTCCAACAGAAAAGTATAATGTTATTCATGCAATTTATCGTACAACTAAATTACTCATTATCATGTTGCATTATTCTTTATTTAGAGGACGAAAGGGGCGAGTAAGTTTAGAACAAGGAGAACAAGAACAGAAAGAAACGAGGGAGTGTGCCAGCAAGAGGAGGTGGAGGATAGTTTACAGGGGGGGGGGGGGAGGCCATTTTGAAGGAGTTGACTCACGAAAGCAAACATAATTGATTACACAAAATCAGTGTTAAAGAACTTGAGAACGAGATGTATTGTATAAAGGAGCTGATTTTAGTGGCAAGAATTATGAAAACACATGGCATGATTATCCTTCCTTTCCTAAAACAGCATTTAGATTCATGAATTTGCAACTATACATAAACTTTATACTGTTTTCTGTCTAAAGTGTCAATCTCTTCTCTCGTTGTTGCGATTAATTTAAAAATAACGATGGATCCACAATGGGATGTCTACTCCTTGCTCGTAATGGCAAGTATAAAAGCCAGTGGATTATGAATCCGTTGTGGAAAATATACCTTGTAGAATCCTAAAGATGCTTATTAAACACATAAATTTTTTGATTGTCCTCTTGTGCTGCTGGTGCTGTGGTATCACAAATCTACTACTAGTAGTCTCAGCAGATGACACTGGTAGCATCTCTAAATCAACCATGATCTCTACCACGTCCGAAACTGTCTATGAAATGCTGCCAGAGGATTATGATAAAGACGCCATCTACCGCCATATCGTCAGCGTGCTAATGAAACGAGCCTCCAAGCAAACCGTACCTGTCACTCCAGAGTTGTCTACCATGATTGTTGCTCAGATAAAGGCTCGCATACACACTCAGATTACTACCAAGATCTCCGCATCTGTAAAGTTGAAATGAACACATCATGCCATTCTACATTTTGCTCATCACAGTCTATATGTAGATCTTTCAGATAATAAAAGCAAGTATTACTATTAAAACCAGCATCATGGGAGGTGCAGTACATGTAGGCAATGCTCAAATCGAGGCTATTCAAACAGCTGCTGTAGATGGATTACAAAGTAATTACATGTAACACATACACACACTCACAGACAGATGTGTTCTAACACTTGGATGTATCACAAAATAGCGCAAATGACGAAAACTGTAGAGAAAGAAATAGAAGAGTCTCTCTCAGAATCGATTACCTTCGCTATTGATCAATTACTGGCTGCACCTGCCGCCAAAAGCCAAAAAATACTTAGCACAAAGCAACTGACAAATGTCCTGATCAAGGCAGAAACGATTGCTAGAACCGAACTCAAAGTCAAACTACCCGCTATTCAAAAGACGCTCAAGTCGTGTGTGGATAAACAGCTGAATACACACATCAAGGATTTACAAGTGGATATTCCTGGTGTACTAAAAATTCAAATTAGTGCTAATGTGGATGTGATATCATCCGTAAAAACGGCTGTACAAAAAATATACAAATCTTATGCCGATGTTAGTGTAGCAGTAGCCGTACAATCTTACATAAAAGGCATTACAGTATCAGCGTCGAAATTGTCAGCTGCTAAAGGAGGTACTACGTAATCCAGATTGACTATACCACTTTGCTCTCGTGCTTGCTTGTATTCTGTTAATTGTAATAGTATATATAACATTTTAGAGCTTAATAATAATACACTTCTCTGTTATTTATTCATGCAAACGTTGTGCTATATCCAGAAATCAGTAACTTTAAATTAAGCATCATAATGGTCTCATATATTACTCGTGTCCAAATCGTACTACTAGTAATGATGATTGACATGTGTGTCCGGAATTAAAAAAAAACCATTTGATCATACAAACTTGCCCGTTATTTGACTGTATTGGCCACATCCTAGGGCAGCAACATCTTTTGTGAGTGTTCGAATTTAAATTCTGAGACAAAACTTCACCAGCACATTAGGTTTGCCCGCGAGATTCCACTTTACGAGCTAAAATTCAGCTATAATGCAAAAAAAAAAACTAAACTTAAAACATGTATCACACCTCTATCAATGACTACAAACGCTCGCTCCTCAAATGTGAGTCCAAGTAGGGCAAAAAAAAAAAAAAAAAAAAAAAAAAAAAAAAAAGATCACGAATTTGCATAAAAAGTCAATTAAGCTTATCGAGTCGAATTTAGTAGAACCGACTAAAATATGCTTCAAAGAAGGCACGGAAAGCGAAATTAATGGCTAATGAACGTGGAGTTCAGTATCAAGATATACGAATATACACCTTAAGGAGTTTAGTATGCCACTACTAGCCAATCTATCTCGCTACGCTCAATGTCGGTGTCGCCCTGTGGGTTCTCGCCAAAGACATATTAAATCAGATATAATAAAATTTTGGTATATTAAGTAGATTTTAAGCAATATATTATTAGTAAAACAAAAATAACAAAGGTTATATTAGAGCCACCAGAAGGAGAAGAGGAGGCATTTCCCTCAGCATTCTTTTTGCTTACACTGACATCAAACGAAGCCTATTATTGGGACAATCGGAAAGAAATTTCAAGTGTTATGCAGCATTTGTACATCATAATCGCCATTTTCTGATAGTAGAATTGTCATATCATTCACTGCCACTGATGCTCTTAATAAGATGGAGAAATAAAGCTGGCCATAAGTAAATATAGGACTTGTGTAAGATCTACAGCGACTTTTTTGAGATTTGTCATTGCAAAAGACATCTTCATGAGGCAAAGGTGTCAGGAAGTTACTACTACTCAAGTACAATTGTTTGGCGTCATTCCGGTGGCTCAGAAAAATCTACATGTCAGTATATGAAGGATTGAAAGCTGTCAAATTTGGTTATGTATTGCTTTATAAAGTATATTTACGCGGCATAAACCACATCGTTGGTAGCTGCAATTCACTGGAAAGGCAGTTCTGTAGCTTGAGCAATTTTTAATTCTAATAGAAGGCATATTAATTTCGGTAAAGCTGATTCACGCAAATTTTGATGCGCTGTGTTGCTGGCAAGCTTATTAACAATGGAAATAAAAACTCGAATTTGCTGCTTGAACACTGTGGTTTTACACCTTTGCTTGACCACGGTAAAACCCATTAAGACTAATATTACCAAATGCTGAATTAGATGCAATCTTGATACGCTCGTATATATAGTGAAGATTAGTGTTTGATGTCTTCTCAATTAATTCGATCTTGCTTGAAGAAAAAAAAAACGCCATCAAATGCAAGCGTAATGCGATGAAGCTGGAATAATTACATTACTGACTGTACGCACGTAATTTACAGACAGCTCCAAGTTTTTGGTTACAAAAAGGCGTTATGCATCAATACATTTTATTGTTTATTGATGCAATGTTTTGTTTGCCATGCTTTGTCTTAGGTGGAAATCTTGTCGAAATAATGGGACAGTGGTGCTTCTGCCTTTTTTTATTTCATACCGAAGCGTTTTTTCCCTGGATTTATATTTTCTATCCAACTTTGCTAGTCGTAAATTAGCGCTATTACAGATGTGGATTCTTGGCAACTATTAAGATTTGTAACTGGCTACTATTAAAGATGACAATGATTCCATATATTATGGATATGCAGAAATCAGAATTCAAACTCACGCAGGCATTTAGGAGCAGATTCCGCATGACATTCAGGAACAAATTCCTTGGTTACCATAGTAACCAGGCACGTAATAGGGATCGAATACATTCAGGGACGCCCATAGCGGTTTCAAGATATTGCTATTTAAAAGAAACTATGTTATGATGTTATCTGATTTAAGCAAGATTGTCTATACATGATTGGTACATACATCGCACTTCTCATTTATTTGTATTCTCTGAAATGCTGTTATCTTATTCAGAGATATCTTACAATTATGCAGGAGATCTTCTGCAAGTATGAGCCTATATGTACATTTTTCTCTTCACAGCGCCATGAATCTTGATCTGATATATATATATATATATATGTATAAATGTCAAACTTCTCATATTGATTACTAAATTCAACATGTGTGCCAAGCAAAGCATATAAAATGTTCTCCTCGTGCGTAAACTTGTGTGAGTCATTAGATATCCAATATATATGCACACAACAGTAATCGTTTTCTGTTTCACCAAGCACAATGTGGAGTTTGATTGACCAAGATGGCTCGTGGTGCGCTGTTGTTGAGTGCCCAGATAGTACAGACTTGAACAACCGATAACCTGTTTATAACAAAGATTTAGCTCATGAGTGCATATCAATTTGTTTCAATTAATTCAAATAATGTAAATATGATGAAAATAGATCAAGCTCTCGTCTTTACAACATAATAGAGATACACTGGAGAAAGTCATTGTCCCTAAAAAGGATACATCTCATCTGCATATAAAGTTTAAATGGAATTTGGCATTGTGTCAAAAAAGGTACACAGACTAAGCACGACATTTTATGGTCAATTGTATCGAGTTTTAAATTAATACCATACAGAAAAAGAAAGAGGAGAAGAAAGAGAAATATCGCGCTATATTGAGTGTGTCTCATTCAACATTTGTAGGTATAGAGTGAGACAGAAGGGAGTGCTAAATGAAAAATTTTGCTGGCTTGTGTGTGCTTGCGTGCCCTTCTCCTCGATCTCCCTTAGAAACAAAATTACACAGAGCCTCATTTTTTATTCTTATCTCTTTCTTTCCAATTTTTCTTTTCAACACTGCCAATTCATTGAAACCAAATGTTTTTCTCGAGAAAGAAGAAATCCTTGATAAATTAATGGCAAACCTATTGTTACAACTAGATCAAACGTCAAAAGATAGTTTCTACACAACTGATACACTCACAAATGTTGGTTTATTTAGTATTTTACACTTATAATTTTCACTAACAACAAACATTGATATAGGGCTCTAAGCAATGGTTGACGGACGCACAGCATATTGATGATGATGACATTGATCCTTCTCTTTCTCACCATATGCACGTCAACGTCACTGAAGCGGATGAGTATTCCTTCTCCCCTACCAATAAAGTTTGCTGTTGTAGCCATAACAACCGATACAGCATCTATCAAAGATATAAATCTCCTTTTCCTTACAATTCATCATTAAATTATTACTGTAAGTTGTTGATCTCCTATATTTGTTGCTCTTCTTTCTTTAGTACATTGTTCAAAACTAAAATGTTTCTACTAGATAACACAGCAACAGCAATCACAGCTACAAGTAGAGCAACAGCCACAGCGACAACTACCACTTACAATGAGGATATCTACTATATAGACTTTCATGGGCAAATGATGAGGAGCAATAATCATCAAAAGCTATTTGATCCTCATATTGATGATTTCGATATTGTGCGAGCCAAAGTAACTGGTATTACAAGAGCCATGCAGCAGTATCATGTTGACGAACTGGAGCAAGAGCACGAGCCTCTGCTTTCGCCAATACCTTCCTCGATTAATACAGGAAGCATTGATCAATTAGACTCATCAAGCATCCGGCCGCTATCTCCTCTGAGCATACTGTGTCCAACAACCAACTCACTTGTACAGTCTCGAGTGTTGGAAGAGATAAATGATGATGAATACCAACTAGAAGATGAACAAGCATGGCACGCTGAATTTCTCAATCTCATGTCGACGTTGATTACTCACTCCGAGAGTCTAGAAAATATATCAACAGAGTTGCTGAGGACAGAGGGCAAAGTGAGAGAACTCGTTTTACTTCAAAAATCCATGCTAGAGGAATACGAGGAAAGAGAGAAATTATATCGAAACAGATTGAACGAATGTGAGCAGGTCGCACAACAGCAGCAACAATTGATGGATCATCTTGTGGAACTCGATAGAGATTTAGATCTTACTGGTCATGCTACTGATAGAAGCAAAACGTCAAAAGCCAGCAAGCAACGGATGACTCTATCTGCTACCACATCAACGACTACTACCACAACGACATTATCACCTATTTATCGTTGGCAAAGTTCAGAACAGAGCCGACAGCCAAGAAACAGGAGAAGCACCTATGATAGCTGTAGTAGTAATAATGTATGCATGCTAGATCATCAGTGCCAACAGCAATGGGACTTTAATCAGCCCGTCAAAGACATTGTCCATATCAACTCGATGCAAGATCTCGTTCACACGTTACGTTGGGAAGTAGGATTACGGATTGGAGGGGGCGTGGGCACCGGCCATGTGATTCATTCCTTTGAAGGCCCATTAAATGGTATCGAGCTAATCATTGCTGGATCAGGAACTATTGCAACCACAGCTGCTGTCGATGAATTATCATCCTCATCCTCATCCTCATCAACAGTAGCACCTTTAGCCCCCTTTTCTTTGGGCACATGGAACGAGGATTATACAAGACAAGAGGTGCGTAGTATATGTTATTGGTTACGCCATTCTGACAGTTTAATACAGTCCTTTACATTATCTTCGTCCATACAGCACCTTCGATTCCATAGACACCATTACATGCTCCATATCAATCGACACGATCGCAATACCCTCTTCAAGCTACTACCGAAAAGCCAATGGGTGCCTGATCAGCAATCAAATCAGTGCCAATTTAAAACCGCAGCAGCATCATGTATCACTCAATTTGGTCTATTCCAACGAAGACATCATTGCAGAAGGTTGGTTCTTTAGTCTGATTTATGGTGCGTTTTTATTCAACCAATTTATAGATGTGGCATCCTTGTTTGCCAGAGGCACAGTTTGAATAGACTGCCTTTATTTGCTTCCATGAAACCTATAGAAAAATGGCATCGAGTGTGTGATGGCTGCTTTTACGATTTAATTATCAAAAAGCAGCAGCAGGCGTCTACTCGTGATTCTGCAGCAGACCTGACTGAAATTTGTTAGCACAATCGATACCCCCTATTTTCTCTTCACTCTTCAATTGTATATACTCAACAACATCATATATATATCCAAAAGAACGTTCTCTTTTCTTGAACTGTAAATAAAGACATCATATAAACGCCGTTACGCCAAGTACATTCTGTACAGCGAAAAGGGGTGCGTAATTTTACATCCATAAATAATTAAGATTGACGCATCCGAAACGTCTTGTTGAACAAAGATATAGCCCTGCATATACATCTAGCAACGCAGTATTTCTCAATGAACAGGACATGCGGATAACCTGATCACTTGAGAAGCCTCTGGATGCCTTCAGCTATATGACAGCAAGACCCCAAAGTAATGTAAGTATCACTTTTCTGTTCAAAATGCGATTCATGCAAATTTCAGTGAAACATTGGAGATTGATTTAGGCGTCCAACTACAGATCCGGCTTAACAAAAGCGCAGGTTGATATACACTGACAACAATTCTATGATTGTTGAAAATTGAAACTATTCTTTTCTATTAGTGATTTCATGAAAAGGATGCAAAGCGTGTACTCAAACATTTCATACACATATCTTGCTCTAAGCAGATTTGGTCTTGCCTTTGTCTTGGCGGGCAAACCCACCACGGCTACTACCGCGGCTATCACCATGTCCATCTCTTGCACAACCACCTCAGTTTGCTACTTTTATAGCTACTACTGTCTTTGTATATCTTGCTTGCGGTGTTTTGCCTGTAAATTGTCCATTGAATTTGGGCGCGTTCGAAGTATCTTGCAATTTTAAGTGCTCTAAATTTTTTACGAATTTTTCTGTGATTTTGGAGGTATTGCTTTGATGCTGGATATGTTTACTGCTGATGATAGGGATGCCCACCACCAGTGTTACAAACAGATAAAGCTGAACCAACGTTAAGATCAGAGATGATGTGTTCTGGGTGCTCGTGGCTGGTAGTGGTTTGGTGTGATGTTGATTTGGATAGACTTTGATTCTTATTCAAAGCAAGATAACTTGACTTGGTCATATTGGTTCAATGTAGATACGCTAATTGCGCGAGAGATGTAATGACTGTTGAAGAAAGGCTTATTTTGGAAAAATCATTAATCGAAACGCTTTTGCTGTGGATATGGAGTGTCACGGTTTTCCAAGGAGGAAGTGTTTTGGTCACCAATTGTCTGTGATGAAAGGGTAGAACATCTGTATTTCATCTTACTTTGAGAGAAAGCGCACTTCTACCAGGAGTTAGTTGGTTTCAACATAAAAATTAAACATTTCGACCTTTGGAGAGTGCGAGATTGAGGGAAGACAAGGAGCAGTGGGAGATTTATACGATACATGAAACTCGAAACAACCGGCATGAATGTAAACAGTAAGCTCATCAACAACGCCATTAATTAGCTCAATTAACAGTAACAATATATTTGCTTTCATCTTTCTCTCTCTCTCTCCTTCCCTTGTGCTGGCGCTAATAATCATAATGAACTTTGTGGATGATCAAGATTTAATCAAAATCAAGGATGCTGCAATCCGTAATATGCCTGTCTTGCATTATGACAGAACTGGGTTTCGAGCTTCCCCTCGTTTATCGAAGGATACAAACAAATACTACAATGTGCACGTAACAGATGAAGTTATGCTTGAATACATTGCCACTCAATTGAAGGAAACAGACAAGATGTCTGTTATGGGCGAGTTCTCTATTGAACATTGGAAAAACAGACTAGGCAATCCCTACCATACAACCCACATCCAAGCTCAATGTTTGCAAGTCAATGATTTTATCTGTTTCAAAAGCGCCCAGGCACCAGCCATGCATATCCAGTTTCGATTGATGGTTTTTTTTTTAGCCCAAAATATGCCTGGTGCTTCCAAAGTCTCGACTTGCTTTGATGCCAAAACCATTGGCGATATGGTCAGAAAGGTCATTGTTCCTATCTGTAAGGCACCTATAATCATTTTGTTATAATTTGATTTCATGGCTAATTTTTGCATAGATCCTAATGACAGGAAAAGACACAATGTGGACAATCTCAAGGCTGCAAGAGACAAGGTACGCAAGACTCTTCATGAAAAGAATATGTTTGAATTGCAACGTATTCAACAAGGCAACATGCAATTAATAAATAAGTTGACTGAATCTTCAAAATAAGCTGTATTACATAAGATAGTCCCCTTCTATAGTCGTATCATATTCTCAGTAAAATAAAAATCCTAGCAATGTATGTTGAAACTTCAGTTTTCAAATGCCTGCTATCATACAAGTACCCTCCATGAACGGGTTGTAACTGTGGATTTGGCACTTTTATGACGATATACGTCTGTATCAATGGAAACAGCTCATGTACAGGCTGACGGCATGCTCATAGTGGCTCTTATTACTCCAAATTGTGCCAAACACAACGAAATCTGGTTGTATTTGGACCCTGTTTTCTCACTTTAGAAGCGGCTCTTGACTACAAGAATAGCACCAAACAATTTCTCGCATCTAGTACTTACTTCCTGCTATCTTTGCTCAACCTTTTTGGAATCGCCGAAAATTGACCCAAAACCATGAGGGGTACCTCATGGTTTTCATCGAAAATCAAACGATCACATTTTTGACCTCCAAAATGAACATTTTTACTATAGCATATATTGATTCAAAACGCTTCTCTTGATCAAAAGCAGCCTCTAAAACTTCACTTGTAAGATTTTCGCGTGTTAAATTTTGACCTTTTGGCAGAAAACATGATATCATATCTTTAGACTTTGCTCGATATACTTGCTCAAAGCACCTATCAAATTTAGTACCATCAGGTGCGCCTTGAAAAGTACTCCAAAGACGCATTAGAAAGCGTAGCATGGCCATTACAATTTACACAGTCGAATTTAGCAAGATAGGTCGAATTGTGCTCAGAAATTCCTAAAATGAACAAATCAGAACAGAATGTCGAGCAAAGATTAACCAATTTTTGTGAGACTGGTGAAACGTCTAATCATGAAGGAAATTGTTGTTTATGACGCTTGGAAGTAGAGAGTCTCGAATTAAACGGTGCTATAGCTTAGATTGGGTGCATTTTTGCATTTCTATGTGCAAATTTATGTATGATCGATTGAATACTTGCAAACTAACCGTCCAAATGCGATCCTAATGCGACATGCAACATTGCCATCAAAACAATAATGCCTGTCATATACCGAGTTTGTGAATCCTCTCGTATGGTACAGTATAGAATTAAGCATATTTATTATTATTGTAATACTAGTATCCACCATCAGGCTTCAGTACTCTTGGTAGTTGAGGTGGCAAATCCACTGTATTGGGACGATGCACTTCAACAGCATCGGGATGTACTGCGTAAGCTGTTGAGTTGGGCTCACCCCCATTGATGATGGTTGTGGATGTAACGCTGTCTGGGCCTGTACCAAATCGCTCATTGTTGTTTGCGAGTTTGATTGTAGGCATTTCTGTATATTTCGTTTCAATTTGATCCCAATCGACTTCCATGGGCTCCACGTTAGTAGTATTGTAGTACTCGGCTTGTTGTTGTTGCTTTGTTAGCTCGTGTTCTTGTTTTCTGATTCTTTCGTTCTTTTTCTTGTTGCGAAGATAGAACCAAATGACAATGGCGCCCAAAATTACCTATCAAAAGAACGAATCAGTAAGAGAGTTTGTAGATCTCATGTAAAAAGAACGTACCACAACGACAGCTGCAACAGCAACACCAGCTTTAGCACCACTGCTGAGGCCAAAAGTGGCAACACTAGCGCTTGTAGTGCCAGCACCAGGCTGGATTGTATTGCCATTGGAGGCTTCAGCCGCATTAGCAGCATTAGGATCAACATACTTGTTGGACATGGTGATGGCGTCAGGGTTGGTGGTGTTGAGAATAAGCACTGAACTAGTGCCTACTTTGTTGGGATCAATACCCCACATGACGAATAAGGTGTTGTTATTGACGAGCACAGCTATAGAATTGAATGGTTAGCATTGGAATCAATATTTGCAAAGATATGTGCATACATGAATGTCTTGATCTTTGCAAGGTTGTTCCAGCAGGTGCATCGATGGTCTGTCTAGTCCAATTCTTAGTATCTAAATTCAAGACATTGCAGTAGTCCTGTACGACTACAAATACTTGGGTCAGTCTTGTGCCTGTCAATAGTGTGCCTTGAGCCTACCTGTGTCGTCGGCTTCACCGCCATACAATAAGACATGTCGATTGGTGGAAGGCACTATTTAGAGGTAAGTGGTTTGACGAGTCAGTACAATACAACTTGAAGTATAGGCTATGACGTTACATAATGTCAATGTAGAATAGATTCTGCTTTGTGTGGGTATATCGCCAGTGAGATTCATCATGCTCCATTCATTGGTAAGAGTGTTGAATGCCTTGATGTATGAATAGGGGCGAGGAATAGAGTTTTGTGATGTAGTCGTTCTGTATTCGCCTCCCATGAAGAGAAGCATGTTGGTAACGGGATCAAATACGGATTGATGTCGAGCAGAGAACTGATCTGAAGCGGTTGTCAAAGGTACAGGGGTATTCCAGGCAGACTGTTTGGATGTGATTAATAATCCTTGTGTTTGTGTCCATGTTACATGTATTTTCGTACTCACTGCAGGATTATCTACGTTAAAGTAGGAGACTTGAGTGTAACCAATGGTTCTTGAGAAGCCGTCTGCAAAGGTGAAGATGGAAGTGTTTGTGTTGGGCGTTGTCCAATTGGGGTTGATAAATCTACAGTAAAAAGAAGAAAAAGTGTTGGTACATATGAATGGATTGTAACCAACGGTACATATACTGACTCTTCAAATCCACCATAGAACGCAGCACCTTTACCAGGCACATAGCTACCCGAGCCCCAATATCTACACAGATGAACTACCCGATCAGTAATTTATAACTTAAATGATGAGATGCAGTATACCAACATTTGTCTATTTCCATAAGGGTCTTCAGCGTAAGCAGATTGAATGTACCATTTGTTTTCGAGCGCATTGTACATGACATTCATATTTGCCAATGCCTTTGGCGCAGTGACATAACCGCCATTGACGATCATGCGATTTTGATCGCTGATGACAATACATTGAGGATCTGTTCTAGGTGTCAAATCGACGTTGTCTGCAATGTAGCTGACACTTCGCCACAGGTTTTGCAAGTCGTCAGAGGCAATTCCACTTTTATTGGTGATGTCTAAAACGTTCATGACATTATCTACTTTATTCTCTGTTGTGCTTGTAAAGATAAGACCACCATAGCAATATATTTTTCCAGACATGAGTCCACAACCTGAAATAAAGCACTATTAGTATCGATTCCCACTTGCGCTTATCATGGCACTGCGTTACATGTATTGGCTCTTGCTGCTGTCTGAGCTAAGGTGGTGGTCGTTAAGCTCAAAATCAATGCCAGGCACAACGTGGCAGGAAATCGCTTGGACATGCTTGATTTTTAGAACGTAAATTAAGAACCAAAAAAAAACCAAAGAAACCAAATCAATTACAAGTCAAACAGTTTATATAGACTTTAGAAATTAGCAAAACTAAAAAATTGTGGGCTTTGATGTGTAACTTGACAAGTTGAAATATCTGCACAATATAATTTACCTGTATCACCCAACTCAACCCTTTATATATTTGTCTTGTTGATGCAATGTTTGCAGAACTTGAGGGATGACATAAAGCAATTGATCCTGTTTATATAAATACTCGAGTAGTTCCTATGCTCATCCACGAGCAAATCCTGGTAGCAACAGATTCAGGTACACATTTATAAGGAGCATTTGCATTCAACTTTTTTCTCTGCTGATCACAAACTTTTCTGCTACGTACAAAAGCGCAAAATTCTTAAAAATAGAAACATGAGTGGGTCATTTTGACACTTTTTTTGGCATGGTTTGGTTTTGGAGGCACCATATAACATGACATACAACACAGTATTCATGTTGCGTTTAGAAAAAAAAAAAAAAACGAGAGGGGTTACTGGCATAACCCAAAGATGTCCCACCGACACTTTTTCAAATGTAAATTGCCATGAGGTGAATTTCTCTAATTCTTAATAATGTGTTGCACCGTACGACATCTGCATCTACGATGAAGATCTGTTTCTTACCTTCTTGAAAAGCCTAAAATGGGATTTAGATTATCACAAGCGGCTAATATACTTATCATACAGAGCAGACGGATGCATCTATTAGACGATAAAAAAGAAATTGAGTTTCTGTAGGATAACCTATTATAATATACGGGTGTTTATGTTTCGGATGGACCTCTATCTTTGCTTCGCTTCGGTGAGAACCATCCTGCACAGCGGTAGCTCGCGCTACCGGTTACCCTTGCGTAGTATCTTATCAAAATACTGCTACTTTCATTTGACCCTCCACTTACACATGAAAACCCTTCATAATATCTGTGGATCTGATTCTTATGTGATGCTCTACACCCATATACACGTAGCTATTTTATATACGGGTAAGTAGCATACTGGTATTTCCTCTTTTTAGTCCTTAGTGTCCCTGATACAGCAACATTCAAGTGCATTTGAGCTGCATTTTCTTGCGTTCAAGGCTGTTTTAAACCGTCAGAATAGCACCAAACAATTGCTCCCATCTGGCACTAACTTCCTGACATCTTTGCTCAACTTTTTGGGGACCCAAAAAACATGGCCAAAATTCGAGCAAAAAGCATGAAGCACCCCCTCATGGTTTTCATCGAAAATTAAACGATCGCGTTTTTGACCTTGATAATGAAGACTTTTACTATGGTATATCTTGAATCAAAATGTTTCTATCGATCCAAAGCAACCTCTGAAATTATTTTTGTGGCATTTTGATATGTGAAATTTCGACTTTTTGGCCAGAAACATCTTTTCATATTTTCGTAAATTATTCAATAAGTTTATCCAAAACATCTATCTTGCTTGGTACCATTGGATGCGTCTTAAAAAGCACTCCAAAAAAGCTTAAAGAAGCATAGGATGATCATTATATTTTACATAGTCGAATCTGCAAAATAGATCATTTTTTTTGTTAAATTTTGTTTATTGTTTGAGCCGCATCCACTAGGAGTAATGGGTCGAAGTGAAGAGGCGGGTGCAATTGAAAAGAAAATAATAAAAAGAAGGTAAAATATTAACTAAACTAACCTAAACAGAACTATCAAAACTACCTAAACTACAAGAGGGAGTGGATTTGATCCTCATCCACTGTCTGGCGAACAGTGAAGCGGATATTCACCAGAATCGCCTCAGGGACAAGGATGATGTTGTCAAAAACAAAGCGCATATGGGCTAGCCATATTTGAGACAGGGTGATGAGTAGGACTATGTATGGGTGGATGCCTTTGACTTGGGAGTACCAGATATCCGAAAAGTCCAGGGACAAAAGAGCCTCTTTGATGTCAGTGATGGACGTGGTGGGCCATAGGAATTCAAAAATGACGCCTTGCCATACCTTTTCTTTGGGTGGACAGTCAAAGAGCAGGTGGCTGGCAGTTTCATTGGGAGACAAGCAGACAGGACAATTGTGAGACTCAAAGACTCCAGGCATCATGTAGTGTAATCTGCTTCGAGAAGGGATACAGCCTGTGATGAGCCGGTATATCACATTACGTTGAATGTAGGTAAGAGACAGGGGCCAAAAGAATTTCCAATGAGAAGCAGAGATATTCTGCAAGACCAAGGGTTGTTCCATCGACGACAGCACAGACAGACGAAATGTTTTGGCCGAAGCCTGAGCATTTCCAAGGGGTTGGCCATCGTTCAGACAAAATTGATCCACCAGCGGTGCAAAAGAGACTCCAGGATCCACAAGGGGGGCTGGGTTATACACTGGGAGGAAGTAGGGCTGGAATTTAAGAGTGCCAGATGCGAGGCCTCTGAACACTGTTGAAGGGGCTCGCTTCTAACTGAAAAGGGAAGGGTCACGAGTGTCTTTCCAATATACAAAGTTAAGTCGGGCATCGTACTGAAATACATCAGAAACCATCATCACTTTGACTTTAAGAGGAACAACCAGTGAGGAGGATGGAGGAACATAGAAAGCCGCCTGTAATGGAAGAGTCATGGCAGTTGCAGTATTGATCGGGGCCGCATCAAACGACTTGGGAAGGTAGTCAACTGCACGATATAACATATCGACAGTTCCCGTGCGTTGCTTTTTCAACCCCTTAGTACGGCGAGCAGAGGGAAATAGCAGCGGGATTTGATGGTGGGGATAACCATTAACATTGCGGATGTGGTAGCTTAAGAGGTACGACACAGGATGGGAATCAATGACATCTTGATCTTGAACCAGTAATGGGTGGAGCCAACGAAAATACAAAGTCGAAGCTTGTATTTGGATGTCTACAACACCGAGACACCTTCTTTCCTTTGGTAGAGTCCACATCTTCCAAGGGATGACGGGGAAGATGTTTCTTCTCAAGAACTGAATAGCCAGAGAGCGCAGCTGCTTGAAATCAGCTTGAGTCAAAGGCGTAACACGCAGAATGTACCATAGCTTGGACAGCAAAAGAGAGTTCAGCACTGTAGCCTTTCCAACGACCGATAAGGAGCGACCAGAATGAATCTGGAGCAAAATAGATCAGTCGAGTCGAAAATTACCAGAATTTGGCCAATCTGGAGCAGACTGTAAGTCTGGTTTTTAATTAATTTTGACAGCTGGTGGGGCTTGCTGGCAAACTCAATGCCCTATATCATTAAGTCAATACAATAATAGATGTTTTTGAAGCGTATGGAAAGTAGGTGGCAGATTACATAACACTATATTTAGCCATGCTATCTTCCTTGCATTCTATATTTAATAACGCCATTCTATCAAAATGCTTGTTAGATCAATTTCTTTCCTTTTTGAGGCTTTGAAAGTGTCAAGGGACCACATACTTATTACGTTATGACCAGAACGCCAACATTTTCATTTGCCGTCGCTTGACACTTTGCCAGCTTGCAATGCTTAATATGATGCTATATCGTTGAAAAATGCAAAGATTCGTTGTGTAAACGATGCAAAAGCCATTGCATTTTTGAGGTCTTGCTTAACGTTCTCTTGACGTCCTTACAGACAATGGGTAGCTGCAAAAGCAAGGCATTTAAAAGACAATATGCCAAATTGTCCAGTCTTGACAGAGATCAGATGGCTTATTGTAATAAGCGTCGACCCCATTTATCAATCACGCTGTTATTAGTAGATGCTAATTGATATATAGTTGTCCGGAGAGCAGGCACATTCGTTAGCAGATGTCAACAGCGTGTGAGTTGAAATTGGTATGGTCGTGTAACTTGAGCAATTGCTTGTTTTGTTTTGGCGTTTCGAGTTCTCCCCCTCTTTCTTTCTGCTTTTTTCACCTTTTCAATCAACTAAAGCTTACAAATGAATGTTCAAGGCGATCGAATTCCCAAGGTAATCCCTATTGATGTCACGGATGATGAGTTTGGTGATGATGAAGAGGAAGATCAATATGTCAAATATTCAGCGGCAGACAGGAGGAACAGTAACATCCTGCAGAGAATAGTAAGAGCTGTGAATCAGCTCTCCTTTAGCTCTCGTTCCGGAAGCCCCTCAGTATCGTCCATGGCATCCAACTCGGATGATAATGCACTGTTTGAAAGCGAGCAAGAGCAAGAAGAAGAGGAGGAGGCAGAGATGGAGGTGGATCGGCAAGTTGAACAGCCGGCCAAGGCAGAGGAAGAACAAGCTGCAGTAGTCATCGCACCCTTGCCATCACCACACGATACTCTAGACGACACCCACCAAAGAACAGACTCGATGAAATTGGATGCCACAGAGGAGCTAGTAGCACTGCCATCAGAGCATGTCAATGACTATATTGAAAAGCTGTTGGAGACATGTGTATCGCTCATTAAGACGACCAAGAAGAGCCAGGCCAACAAGGACGCTGATAGCTGGGCTATCAAGCACGGCTGCGCATTCTACATGGGCAATCAATTCCACTGTTATTACAAACAAGGACAGGGCTGCAAAGCGTCTTTCGACACCAACGATCAATTAGCAGAGCATTTGAGCTCTATTCATAATGTATCCCGAAACACGAGTCCGTATTTATAGAGTATATATGATTATATGCTTTATTCTAACATACCATGTAACATTTTAGTTTCAAGGTCTGTTCAGCAGATGGCCCAAGACAAGAAATTAGCACATTGGATTATTGCTGCCAAACTGCCCATGAGTATCATCGTTGATGGCCAGTTTAATCTTTTCCTGGGCACCTTGCGTAGTAACAATCAGGAAAACAGAGGTGGCTACTCAGTATCGTATACTAGACTGGAGAAAGTAATCAAGGCTGAGTATGAGGTCATTTCCTCCGAGCTATCTGAACGCTTAAGGACCATGGAGCACATATCCGTGGTAGTCAGCCAATGGGAAAGACCTGGACATTCAGGTATCTTGCTTTTCTCTGTGTTTTTCATGGATCAAGAATGGAACAAGAAGAGCTACCTTATTGCAGCTGAACCTTTGCAGCATGACAGTCGTAAGTATAGTATGCGCGAAGTGTGCCCAATGGACAATGTAAACTAACTCACTTGGTTTACCATTAGGTAGCACTATTTTACAAAAGATGGGCATTGTCTTTTTGGATCTGGATATAATCGACAGGGTTTATTCCATTACTTGCCAAGGTATCCGACACCTCAATCCATCCACCTTGCTCACATTTATGCAAAAGATCAATGGAGCAAGAAGAATGAAGTTGACCAAGGACAGAATATACACAACCATGCTGGATCAAGTGGTGATGGAGATGCGCATCGAGCTCTTGTCGTCGCTCAGATTTGACTGTGAGCCCTTAAAAACAGTCATTGATGAAATGGAAAAGTGCAAGTAAGTCCTCTGTTGCCACTCTTGAGTGTGATGGAAGCTAATCATACAGAGAGCAGCTGCAATATATTTTTTAAAGAAATGCAGCCTTATTCTATCAAGCTCATGCGAGCTCATCTTGACAAGAAGAAGAGCCACCACATGGATTGCCGCATGAGATTATGCGGTATTTGCGATACAGATGACGAATGCATGGCCCAAATCATCAAAATGGATCATGAGCTTGCTTTTATATACGATTGGCTCTATGAGGCTGCGTAAGTCAATATTGTCACACACACACACACACACACACATACGCACACGCACACGTACAGAACTATAACAAAGTCCTTCTGTAGGGAAAAGAACATAACTATTGCCAACAAAGCCTATGTTATTTGCTGCGAATTGGGTAAATCCATCAAGACATTAGCTGAACTGAGAAACTCTCGACGGGTTGTAGCCAAGACATCCACATCCAAAAACTATGAAATTGCTGAAGCTGTCAAGAAGGCCGATTATATGAAGAAGTCACTGGAATCCATGCACAAACTGTTGAGTGCGTACCGTACACAGATTGAAAATGGGCGTGGCCATGTAGAGGCATTTGTGTACGATTCCTACGCTTACGATGATACATACTTCAAATTGCAGCACAAGACACCCGCCCTCTTGAAGCAACTCAGGGATATCAATCTGCTGCTCGAGGACATTGCTGAACAAGATTCAAAGCGCTATAGAGTCAATGATATTACAGAATTATTGAAAATCAACACGGAAGAAAGGTAAGGTATCCATATTGACCAAAGTGATATCTAGTGTCTGAAGCTGTGCATTTTGTCCAGACAACAATTCGAAGACCCTGATGTGGCAACAAGCAGCAGTTGCAATATCATCAATGGCAAGCGACGTCGAGCCAACAAGTCCACTATAATCCAGGAACCCCCGTCAGTCCAACTGTTCTCTGATCAAATACAATTGCTCCAGCAAAAACAGATAGCTTATTTCAAAAAATACCCAGACACAAAGATTAGAGGTACGTATTGTGTATACAGTATTATTTCTATCAGGGAGCGGCTGCTCATGTGTATTATATAGATCAACCTCATATCATGACTATTTTAAGTGAACAAGCAATTGGTGGCCAAATTAACTTTTGGAGGCAAGAAAGTGATGAAAGGTTGTCTGTACTTATGGAACACACCAAAAAGTCGTTTGCCATTCCCACTACTGCACAAGAATGCATCAACTCTGTCGATCAGTTCAAGCAGATGTATTTGCAGTTGGCGAATCAAGAACAAGATGTCAATGTTGATTTCATATGTAAACGCGCACTCCTTTCTTGTTGGAGCCAGGATTTTACCTTGTTTAAAGACTGAGATAGATCTCTTTAGTTTATGTAAAAAGATAGGTATAGTAAAAATAGGATGATGTGCAGTTGTAATGAATAAAATATGCCTACACTATGATGAGATCAAGCGGAGAGGAGGCCATTTACTGAGATTCAAACTCTGACACACTACCACCAGGCAATCAAGGCCATGATGTGTCAATTTTCAACCCCCTTTGCATTTTTCTTTATTACATTCAATACGCCCAAAAGCATGAGTTTTGCTCACAAAACAGCCATCATCACTGGCGCTACCAGAGGCATTGGACTCAACATTGCACAAGCATTTGCCAAACAAGGTGCTCGTACCATTCTCATTGGTCGTAATAGTGATCGCGTCAAGCACATTGAAGACACCTTTCGATCCACTTATTCTGGTCAGGAGCATCAAGGCATTGTATTGGATGTATCCAACAAAGACGCCATAGACCAAGTATTCAAGGTGTGTGTGTGTGTGTGTGTGTGTGCATGTTGGTCATGTCAAGCATGATGAACGAAAAGAAAAGAAAGACTCATGCCTCTTTTTCAAATAGCAAACATTGAAGGGTCAACAAATTGATTATTTAATTAATGCGGCAGGTATATCCAGGGATAATTTACTGATCCAATTAAAGGACCAAGATTTGCAAGATATCATCAACACAAACCTGTTGGGCACGATGAGAATGAGCCAGCATGTCACCAAAGCCATGATGCGAAAGAGAAAGGGAGGCTGCATCATCAACATTTCCAGTGTGGTGGGTATTCATGGCAATGTGGGTCAATGCGCTTACAGTGCATCCAAGGCAGGCATCATTGGGTTTACCAAGTCACTGGCAAAGGAAGTAGGGCCTGCCAAGATTCGAGTGAATGCCATTGCACCTGGGTTCATTGATACGGACATGACAGCGGATATCGCGGACAAGGACAAGATACTCAAGCTGATACCCTTGGGCAAGTTTGGCAGTGTGCAAGATGTGTCATTAGCAGCTCTGTTTATCGCACAATCCGAGTACATTCATGGCCAAGTGTTGTCGGTGGATGGAGGATTGATCTTTTGAAACTGAGGCATCTTCTTTCCCGGATTTAATGTTCACCCAGCAAGCATCTATAAAAAAGCGGAAAACTTTTCCACACGCACACATTTTCTTTTCTTCTTTTTTCTTATTGTTACACATTTGCATTAACTTGTACATTTCCAAACTGTCGAATAACAATAACTATCACAATAAACAAGGTGAATCCTTCAGCGCAAACAATCCATTTGGAGACCATTTGGTTGAGGATTCGCCGTGGATTGACCAACCCACTCCGCCCGTTGTTGGCCATTCGCCTTACAATCCCTTTACTGATAACGCTACACAGCAGCAACAGCACACGGCAGAGAGTACATTGCATTATTCTCCGTCAGATTTGATCAATTCTACTACTGATTTAATCGACCTACAACAAACGAACCATACCAGCAGCAGTTCCTCGCGTTCAGTGTCATCGTCTCATCCACAACAGCAACCATCATTTCCTAATTTCACTCAGTTGACAGACCCTTCGCAGGTCAGTATGCCGCATTTCGTACATGAAAGAGCTGGAAAGCAGAGAGGTAAGAGAGAGAGAGAGAGAGAGAGAGAAGCCTATCAAACCCAACATTCTCGGGACTCATTCTTTACCATTATACCTAGACATCTTTGAGGACCCAAAGATTGAGGATGAGGACATGTACAGCCAACCACCGCCGCCACCACCACCTACGACCTTGGCAGCTGCATCATCGTCATCCAATGACCGCACAATGATACTAGCCACAGATGGACCAGGCGAGTCTACATCGCCATACGCCCGTGCTAATATGCAATTGCCCAAAAAGAGTAGACGAACAAGACGGCCCATACGTCAAGTGATAAAGGATGCCTTTGCTGGCATGACAGGTCGAACATCCACCGTCTCTGGCATTCCAGGCGAAAATGGCGCTCGCATCATCCACATCAACAATGCACAACTCAATGACGAGCAAAAATTCTTGCACAATCGAGTGACGACAGGCAAATACAGCGTGCTCAGCTTTTTGCCAAGATTTTTGTACGAAGAATTCTCTAAATATGCTAATCTTTTCTTTCTATTCGTCTCTTGCATTCAGGTGAGTTTTCGCATGGTAAGATACGTCATGAGGTTATCTAACAATGGGATTCTGTAGCAAATTCCTGACATTTCTCCGACCTCAAGATGGACTACCTTGGTACCCTTGATCATTGTATTGTTCATTACAGCAGTAAAGGAAGTGGTGGAAGATTGGGTAAGCTCACAGGCGCTAGAACAAAAGAGTAAACGTAAAAAGCTTAACCAATTAAACGATAGGGTGTGCACCGCTCAGATGCTGAATTGAATTCTAAAAAGTGTAAAGTATTGGAAGGCACTCAGTTTGTGGAAAAGACGTGGAAGGATGTCAAAGTGGGCGATGTATTACGTGTGGAAAGTGGTGACAATTTTCCTGCAGATCTCATCCTGATCAGCAGTAGCGAACCAGAGGGTCTTTGTTATATCGAAACCAGTAATTTGGATGGTGAAGTCAACCTCAAGATCAAACAAGCGCTACCACAGACAGCCACCATCTTGAATCCCACAGACATGAGTCGACTGCAAGGTGTCATCAAGTCGGAACAACCCAATAACAGATTATACAACTACGATGGTGCCATCTCATTGACGGCATATGGCAGTAACCACCGTGATGTGCCATTGGATCCTTCGCAAATCTTGTTGCGAGGGGCTCAGTTGAGAAACACACAGTGGATTTACGGTATCGTTGTCTTTACTGGCCATGAAACAAAGCTCATGTTGAACTCCAGCAAGAAGCCTTCCAAGGTCTCCAACGTCACTCACATCACTAATCGCAATATCATGTACTTGTTTTGGATCTTGGTAGGCATGAGTATTGCAGGCGCCATTGGTGGTGTCTTGTTTACCATGTACAAGGGAGAACAGGCGAGCTACTTGCCCATTCACACGTGGAGCCTTGGACAGGAATTTGGTTATGACATTTTGACATTTCTCATCTTGTTCAACTCGTTCATCCCGATCAGTTTGATGGTGACCATGGAAGTCGTCAAGTTTATTCTGTCCTACTTGATTGAATCGGACCTTGACATTTACTATGAAAAGACGGATACACCTGCCACTGCTCGCAGCAGTAGTTTGATCGAAGAACTGGGGCAAGTCAAGTTTATCTTTTCGGATAAAACGGGTACTTTGACATGTAACGAAATGCAGTTCCGTCAAGTTTCTATTGGCGGCTTGTTTTATGCAGATCAAGTAGACCCTGACAAGGCTGCAAGAGAAGGCTCGGATGACCCCACCATGCAGTACAATTTCAGCCAGTTGCAAGAACATTTAAACACGCACACCACAGCCAATGTCATCAACGAATTCTTGACCTTGTTGGCTGTCTGCCACACGGTCATTCCAGAAAGACAAGAAGACTCGGATGAAATCATCTACCAGGCTTCCTCTCCTGATGAAGGTGCGCTAGTCAAAGGTGCTGCCACGCTCGATTACAAGTTTCATACGCGTCGTCCCAACTCCATCACCTGTACTATTCGTGGTCAAGAACAAGAGTTCCAGGTACTGAACATCTGTGAGTTCAATTCCACGCGTAAACGTATGTCTGCTATTGTTCGTGGTCCTGATAACCGCATCAAGCTCTACTGTAAAGGTGCTGACACAGTTATTCTGGAACGTCTTGCCCCTGATAACCCATTTGTGGAGCCTACATTGATCCAGTTGGAGGAATGTGCCTCTGAAGGTCTCCGTACACTGTGTATTGCCATGAGGGAAATTTCTGAAGAGGAGTATGCTCGCTGGTCTCAAATCCAAGAGGCCGCTGCTACGACACTGGTAAATCGTGCTGAGGAACTGGATAAGGCTGCTGAAATCATTGAAAAGGACATGTTTCTGTTGGGTGCCACTGCTATTGAGGATCGCCTTCAAGACGGTGTGCCAGATACGATCCATACATTGCAAGAAGCAGGTATCAAGGTGTGGGTGCTGACCGGTGATCGTCAAGAGACTGCCATCAACATTGGCTACTCTTGCAAACTCTTGAACGAGGATATGAGTTTGATTGTGTGTAATGAAGACAATCACTGGGAGACCAAGAGCTTTTTGGAAAGAAAACTGCGTGATATTAACGAGGTGATTATGCGTGGAGAAGACATGGAGCCCCTAGCGCTGGTCATTGATGGCAAGGCATTGACATTTGCACTGGAAAAAGACATTGAAAAGGTGTTTTTTGATTTGTCGGTGCTTTGTAAGGCTGTTGTGTGTTGTCGCGTCTCGCCACTGCAAAAGGCGTTGGTTGTGAAGTGTGTAAAGAAGTTTGATACCTCCATCTTGCTGGCGATCGGTGATGGCGCGAATGATGTCTCTATGATTCAAGCTGCTCATGTGGGTGTGGGTATCAGTGGCGTGGAAGGTCTCCAGGCTGCTCGCAGTGCAGACTTCGCCATCTCACAATTTAGGTTTTTGAGGAAACTATTATTGGTGCATGGCGCATGGGCATATCAACGCATGAGCAAGATGATTTTCTACTACTTTTACAAGAACGTGGCATTGTACTTGACGCAATTCTGGGTAAGGTAGATGGTTTTGATCATGCTTTTGTACTCATTTCTTTTTATAGTATGCTTTTTACAATGGCTTCTCTGGCTCCACCTTGTACGAATCTTGGACCATGTCATGCTTCAATGTCATCTTCACATTTTTGCCTCCGCTTGTCATTGGCATCTTTGATCAAATTGTATCCTCTCGCATGTTGGATAAATACCCTCAAATGTACATGCTCGGCCAAAAGAACGTATTCTTTAATCAAAAGAAATTCTGGGGCTGGATTGCCAATGCTACATTTCACTCTGTGGTAGGTTTCACCTATTGTTCTATGAACCCCCCTGTCTGATGATTGAAACTCATCTCCTGATTGTATGATACAATGAAGATCTTATTCTTTTTAGGTGTGGGTGCTTTTAGAACAGAAGGTGTATTCAAAAATGGATTACTAAGTGGTCAATGGTGGGCAGGCGCTGCTGTATTCACGGGTGTACTAGGATGCATCTTGTGGAAAGGTGTTCTGATTATAGAGTAAGTTTTGATTGATTTCTGGTGACAGTTCGGTGTGAAAACCGAGCGTCCCCGCAATCCGTTTGATATGATTGGTTAACCTCGTGCTGAACGTAGTTTCTGGACAATGTATACGGTGATCTCTATGATAGCATCGATGGCCGTCTGGTTCCTGTACCTTATCATTGTTGCTTATATTGGCCCCGCAATCTCGGTAAATGTTTTACCTGAATATTATGGCATGGTACCCATGCTGTGGGGAAATGTGAATTTCTGGTTATTCTTGCTGATTGTGCCCTTTATTTGTAACCTGCGTGATTTTGTGTGGAAATAGTAAGTGGATATTTCAAATGTTGTGCTGATTTGTGTAACTGACATATGTGTGTATCTTTTAAGCGGTCAACGTGTCTTTTGGCCAATGCCATACCATCATGTACAAGAGATTCAATACTATAATTTGCCCGACTATCGACCTCGAATGGATCGCTTTAGACAAGCAATGAACAAGGTGCGACGCATCCAGAGATTGAAGCGCAATCGTGGCTATGCTTTCTCTCAAAACGAGACGGATCAAACCAAGATTATTCGTGCTTATGATACAACTGTACAGAAACCATCGGGTTAACTTGTAAATAAATATAATAGGTTTCTTTCATTAGAATCAAATTAGACTTCTAGAAACCTTAGCCGTTTTATTCCGACCCAAACATGTCCGATTCGTCGTTTTCGCTTTTGTTTGTAATCCATATTTGGACAATGAGGTGATTTTTTATCACTCAAATTTAATATAAATTATGTTCGCATCTTTCATTCTTTTTCTTCTTTATTCACTTACATTACAGAGAAAAAATTATTAACTATGCAACACATTGATTCCGCCAAGTTATACGCTGATGGTAGCTATCGTTTTGAATACGTCTCTAAATTTATGGATTTTGGTAAGTGTGTGGCATTTGTGGGGTGGTACATGAATACAGACATTAAATGTGTCTATTCATAGGCGCTGAGGATATCAAAGCAATCGAGGCTGTAGCTGACAAGATTCGCCCTTTGGTTCCCGTTGTTGTGGATGCCGTCTATACCAAGCTCTTTGAATTTGATGTCACCAAGAAGCATTTCATTCCCAAGAATGAAGGTTTTGATGGCCAAGCTCCCACTTCTTTGGAAGACTTGACGCTCGACCATCCTCAAATCAAGTTTCGCAAGGATTTCTTGAGCAAATATCTCAACAAGGTGCTTTCTGGTCCTTATGATGATCGTTTCCTTCGTTATCTTGACTGGGTTGCTCGTATTCACACTGATACTCCTGACAAGAAGAGCAAGATCAACGTGGATTATATTCATATCAATGCTTTGATGGGATTTGTTGAATCTACTTTGGCTGGTGGTTTGTTGTCCCTCGACTTGGATCGCGAGACAGAAGCAAAGGCTCTTTTAGCTTTTAACAAGGTGCTTTGGATTCAGAATGATTACTTTGCCAAATACTATTGTAATCCTGAGACTATTCATGACGCTAATGTCGTTTCAAAGAACACAAAGCAAGGCTGCATTGCTGCTTTGACCACGACTGCTGCTATTCTTCCTCTTGCTGTGGGTGTCATTGCTGGTGCTTTTGGTGCTTATTATCGATTACGCCGTGCTTAATTGTACTCTTTCTTTTCTGCATATTTATCTCACCCTTGTGTTATTACTAATTTTTTCTCGTCATATTATCACTATCTATCAAATAAACCAATTTGTCTTTTTCTCCATTGTAAAACTTCTTCCGTCTTTTGTTCTGTGGTAGATTTTAGGGAGTCTATGCGTTACACATCAAAGTTACGTATTGGGATTTTTTTGTCTTCCCGAATACATCAAACATTGGACTAAACAAAACGAAATAAGCGCTGCATTATGAATCCAATGCGAGGCAATTTGGATATGAGGTATATCATGAGTCATGGTATGCTGTTCAAGACATTATATGTCGACCATACTATTTGTATTTGTTTAAATACTATCAGCTCACTTCCTATCATTGTATGACAGTGGCACGCTTATATCAGCGTTTCCTAAAAGCCTCTTCACGGTAATCCAGATGCCTATATTTAAAAACTAGACCTTGGCCTCCTGCTTACATGGCTCTATAAGTACTCTCAAAGAGTCAGAGCAATAAGTTGGGCTTTCTGGTCGAGACTGGACTTGTACAGCCATAACCGCCATTTCCATTCTTGCTTTTTTTGGCAACCAGTGGGTAGATCTCCTCGCGTTGCTGCTGGCTACGTTCTACTTTATGGAGCGGCCAACTATCTACAGCTCTGATGAGCAAGTTTCTTCACCTTGGAGTTAGGATCACTTTGCTATGATATATACTGTGAGGGAAAAAAAACGCTCCAACGTCCCAACATCATTATTACGATGTGTATATCTACACATTAGTGCCACATCATCAGATTTATAGTTACAGACTAACAATAAGATTATTTTAAAGTTTGTGAGCATCATTTATGATGTGAGCTTGTCCAAATAGCTTAATTACGTTTGATTGGTTAGAGAGCAATATGTCAGATTTGATTAGTTCGATTAATATCATATCAGAAACTAGTATTGGATCAAATCAAAGCCTATAGAAACTAGCCCCTGGCTTATGCAGTGAAACCACCTCCGCATAAGTCTCCAGTAAAAGCATCTGCTGTCGGGCTGTCATTAGAAAAAGGCACAAAAGTCTTTGACATTTTCTTTGTTTTGCTTCCAGTATCTAAAGAATGTCTTTATAGGCAACATACAAATAAAGTTTCTGTAGCACATTTTGTCAGGTTTCGAATGATGCATTGTGCCTAAGATTTGAAGCACTGTACGTAATGTTAACTGGATTAATATAAAACACCTCATTTTGAGTCAATAATATAAGTACTGCATTTGTTCAATCGATGATATATGTATGGTTATTTCAACTTGATGATCAGAATTACACTGCGGTACTTTCTTAAAATATCCATCTGCTATGGAAGTGGTTCTTTTCTATCATGAAAATAAACCAATTTTAGGGCTCCAATCTCATTTCAGGCTTGAGTAGAACGTGGACTTCCTCGTTTACATGATTTTGGGCCTGTCATTCTTTTTGTTCAGTCAGGCCGGCTATCATGAGCATCCTTGTAAATGTGAAAACCATGGTTATCACAACGAACCAATTGGAAATCATTTTACTATATGCTTCAATAATTGAATCATCTAAATGTTGGTTGTGTGGGTTGGCATATCGACACGCAGCAGCATGCTTGGAACTGTAGATATACAGTTAAATATAATGAGATAAAAAATTACTTTTAATTGTATATTACAAACTAGCCGATCTATCTCGCTACGCTCCATGACAGCGCCGCCCTGTGGGCTCTCGCTGAAGACATTTCAAGTCAGGGAAAATAGAAATTTAATAACTCAAGTAGATTTTAAACAATTAAATATCGATAAAAGAAAGATTATACCAGAGTTAGGAGAGGGTATCTCCCTCGGTATTTCCTTGGCTTGTATACTGGTATTAAACGAAAGTTGTTATTGGGACAATGTGGCAAACAGTTCAAGTTTTAAACAGCATCTGCACAACACATTCCCCTTTCGTGCAGCAATTTTTGTAGTAGGGTTTTCATTCTATTCGCTGATGTTGCTCTTCAGATGGCGACATAAAGCTGGCTGGCCATGCTTAAATACAGGACTTGTGTAAGATCCACAACGACTATTTTCAGAGATTGTCATTGCAAAAAGCGCCTCTTACAGGGAAAAACTCCCAACAATTGCAAAGAAAAATATTCAGGTTAAGCAATTGTCCTTTCAAATTCATGATCTTTATTTGATCACCATCATTTTCATCATCAAAAAGGCATTTGGGTCAAATTTTGTTTGAAGCTCAGGTTAATTTGTCTGCTTAAGATTGGCCATATTTTGACTATTTTCGACTTGGTCGATCTATTTTGTTAGATTCGACTATATAGATTGGCATTATCATCCTATGTTTTCTATTACCGTCCCTGGTGGTAGGGCGAAGTGGTAGAACTCCCGTATGCCAACGGGAGGATCCCCGGTTCAAATCCTGGTGAACGCAAGTTGTTTGATTTTTTTGACGTAGTACTGATGTCCTCGTTTGGTGTTTTGTACTCTTATCCATGACCTATATTTTGACGATTTCCGCAAGACTGTACTGGCTCTAGGTTTCGCACCTTATTAGTAGTAGATTTCTTTCCCAACTTAGTTCAAAATTTCTTATTCCCCTTCTTTGCAGACATTGGGTCCACCAACAGTCTTTTCTATCCCTCAGTATGACATTTAAAGGACTTTAAATAAAACCTGGAGCTCGACTCCCCTACAAAAAAAAAAAAAAATATGTTTTCTATTACCTATAGAACTCCCGTATGCCAACGGGAGGATCCCGGTTCAAATCCTGGTGAACGCAAGTTGTCTGATTTTTTGACGTAGTACTGATGTCCTCGTTTGGTGTTTTGTATTCTTATCCATTATCTATTTTTGACGATTTCCGCAAGATTGCATTGGCTCTAGGTTTCGCACCTTATTAGTAGTAGATTTCTTTCCCAACTTAATTCAAAATTTCTTATTCCCCTTCTTTGCAGACATTGGGTCCACCAACAGTCTTTTCTATCCCTCAGTATGACATTTAAAGGACTTTAAATAAAACCTGGAGCTCGACTCCCCTACAAAAAAAAAAAAAAAATGTTTTCTATTACCTACGTGTTGCACCTTATTAGTAGTAGATTTCCTTCCCAACTTAGTTTCAAAATATACCTTATTCCCCTTCATTGCAGACATTGGGTCCACCAACAGTCTTTTCTATCCCTCAGTATGACATCTAAAGGACTTTAAATAAAACCTGGAGCTCGATTCCCCTACAAAAAAAAAATATGTTTCCTATTACATTCTTGAGGTACTTTTCAAGGCGCTTCCAATGGTGCTAATTGTAATAGGTGTTTTGAATAAAATTACTGAGTAATTTGATAGAATATGAAATGAGGTTTTCAGTGAAAATAGCCAGTTTTGGCATATGATGGCCTCATTAAAGTAGTTTCACAGGTCGCTTTGGACCAAGAGAAACATTTTGATCCATTATATACCATAGTAAAAGTCTTCATTTTCAAGGTGAGAAATGCGATCGTTTAATTTTTGACGAAAACCATGAGGGGTACCTCATGGTATTTGGTCAATTTTTGGCCATGATTTTTTTGGTCCCAAAAAGTTGAGCAAAGATGTCAGAAAGTTATTTCTACTCAAGTACAATTATTTAGCGTCATTTCGGTGGCTCAGAAAAGTCTGCATGCCAATATATGAAAGATTGAAAGCTGTCAAATTTGGTTATGATTTTGCTTTATAGCTTTTAATTAAACAGCATAAATCACATTTTTCTAAGCGAAAATCTTCTAGAAGGGCAGTTCTGGAGCCTGTGCAACTTCTAATTCGAAGAGGCGGCATATTGATTTTAATAAAACTAATTCATGCAAAGTTTGACACGCTATGTTAATTGGTAAGCTCATTAATAGTTGAAATGAAAAGCTGTTTAAATACTATAGTTTTGCATACTCGCTTCGCTGATGAATTCCTATTAACAATGTCGCTGAAATAATCAGTCGTCAACTGTATTTAAAGCAAAAGCAAAGAACCCCTTTATGACAAGACATCCAACCAGTAGTTTAAATATGATAGATCCCGGGTCAATGGCTACTACTACGTTGAGGTGGTATATAAATAGCAGGCCACTAGGGCCATATTGATTGTTGGAGTTGTTAGTTGAGAGATCATATTATTGGTCGATAAGTTTCATATGTCGTAGGTGGATTTCGACATCTTGACACAGGGAAGGTTGAATCTGTTGTAGTTCCTGAGGCATCCATACACATACAGCTCACTGGGCTTGTAAGCATGAATGTGATGTGATACAACAAGCATCATCTAAGTCGCTATACTGTGAAAGTGGCTTGAGGAGAAAGTAGATGTAACATAGGATGCATACTTGAACTGTGTGCAGCATAATAGAAAAAAAGCTTGGTTGAGTCGGCAGCTGTACAGGTAAGAGTGCCCAACCACAGGCTTTTTTATAACATTGGTTAGCTTATACTTTACGCTTGATCATTTGATAATCAATGTAGATATAACGACGGAATACCCGTTCATGTTTTAGCGATCCCTCAAATTGAGCATATAATGTTTCTGATATGAAGTCTCTGGCACTAACATAAGGTGTGAAAAAACTTTTCCCCTCTTTTGGTAAGATGCTGCGCAGTACATTTTAGGCCCTTTACCAAACCACAACTAGGGAAGATTTAACCAAGAGGTTTTCACTGCAACGTTTTCAAATATTTAATCCATATATCTTGCGCTTGTAATCGCACGTGATTAACAGCCTTCAAAGATTCTGTACTTATATAAGTCTTTGCTCTAAGTTGTCTTATTTTGAAAATTATCTGTTTCAGTACAACAACCCACCATACAATCTAAAATCCAAATACACTATCGTTTACCACACAGAATTTTGTTTGGAAAACATGGTATTTTCAGAGATTTAGCATCAATACTTTATAACTTGATTTCAGTTGGCCCAAACTTCGAAACTAGAAGTACTTTGCACATCTAAAGTCAATAAAATGAGGTAAAGGATAGCAAGC